GCGATTACAATCTGACAACGGTACTCAATTTAAAAGCAAGGCATATATTAAGAAACTAGAAGAAAATGACATTACTCCAATCTTCAGTCCAGTATATTATCCCCGATACAATATGGCAGAACGACCCATTAAAGAAGTCAAGAGGTGTTTACGCACATATTGTGCTCATCAACAACGAAGGTGGGCTACTTATATTCCAGACATTAATGAGTGCCTTAATGAAATATATCATGAGACAACTGGTTTCTCCCCAAATGAATTACAATTTGGGCAAAGAAACATCCGCTTTTGGGAAAAATACATTAAGAATCCTTTCATCAATGAAGTACCACTCCCACGCAAACTATATTTAACTTCAAAGAGAATCATAGAAAAGCGTCATATAAGAGCCAGAAGAAACCATAACAAATCACATCCAACTTATTTTCATCCAGGCGATTTAGTACTCATAAGAAATCATCCTCTTTCAAATTTAGCACAAGGCGAGACTGCCAAACTATTTGAAGTGTATGAAGGACCATTCAAGATTAGCAGAGTGTTAGGATCATCGACATACTTCATTAGTAGTTTAGAAAACCCAGAAGAATTCGGTCCATACCACATTTCTTCAATCAAGAAGTATTTTCCCCCCATGAACAACGAAAATGTTTAATTCCCTTTCCTGTTCTCTGAAAATCAAGTGCATAAACAATCTTTTAGTGAAAATGACCGTATTGTTTAAAAGACAATTATAGTGCTCAAGATAAACTTTTATAAAAGATGAGAGGACTGTGTGTTCAGTGGTGATAGACTGATAGACAATAAGAAATGGTTAATTCCCACACACTCACACATCACAAATATATAGACACAAAACCACTTTATGTTTTCCACTGTTTCTGTTCTTTACCACTGTTTGTTTGTAATAATAATATTATTAATCATGTTTTGTTGTGTTAACGTCCCATGTTATGTTTTATCAGGTTATATTTATGTTTTCAATGTTTGTTTTTATTCTAGATAAAAAAAAGGTTCTGTTTATGTAAATTAGTTAAGTTGTCATACATTCCTTCATTATCTTATCGAAATAATGTTCTGTTGATTCATCACCATACCATCATTTCTGAGGGGATATTGAGATAAAACATGAATGTACTCATATGTGAATTGTAGCTAAATTACTTTTAATATTTATTAATTACTGTATTTTCAAAAAGAATATTTAAATTTAATGAAATATAAATTAGTGAAGAAGAAAAACTATATTCAAAAATACCATTCTAAAATTAAATAGTGTCTAGGTAGGAAATATTTCTTTTGTACTGTCCGGTGTCCAGGTGTGAAGTAATTGTTGGAAGGAAAGCTAAAGAAAAGGAAGAAAATGTGCTTGTGGTGGAAGATATAGAGAGAGATGGATGTGGGAGCCAAGTCTCCAGTGATTTAAATATCCAAAATTGAAAATTAACATTCAGAATACATATAAATATTGAATATAAAGAGACATAAAGAAAGAAGAAAATCACTATTCAACAAAATTGGTAATATCAACCTCAATTAACACTTAAAAAAAACTCATCATCAATTTCCAACCACCACATTGTGAATTGACTAAATTCAAGTGACTTTCAAATTAAGAACTTATAGCCTAATTTTTTTTATTCTCATTATTAGCCTATCTCATATTATTTAGCCTATATTAGTACTGTATAAATTAAGTTAATCAGCCTATCAGAATTCCATACCCGGCACGAACCAACCCCTAGATTAAGATAATTTTCTAGCCTTTTTTTCATTCAAATTGTTAACTAGCCTAGCCCATAAAAAAAAAACCTAAACCAAAATATAATTTCACTATCTTAGCCCAATGAGATTATTGTAATAGCTATAGAACCTAAATATATTTTATTGTAACTTTATTGTAATTTTATTATCTAATTTAAGTAAATTCATATTTTGAAATTCATTAATAAAGAGGAGTAGGTTGCAAGTCCTTAGTTACTCACACAGCCGCCATTTTGTTTTTTTAAGTTGTACATTTTTTCTAAAGAATGGTCTAACATACGAAATCGAAACTTTGCACAAACATTTATGGCAACTAGACAAAGCTACAAACAAATTATGACGATTTTTAAAATTCATAAAACAAAATGGCGGCCATTTTAAATTTTGTTTCTTAAATAACTCGAAAACCGTTGATTTTACAAACATTTTACAAGAATAACTTTTTAAGGCAATTTTATTACAAATCGAATGACACCTTAATTTTGACGATTGGACAAGTATTAACTGAGAGATGGTAGTTTTAGTGATACGTAACCGCTGGAGGTTAGTCGCAGCGCATGCTGAAAGCGGTCACGTATCACTAAAACTACCATATCTCAGTTAATACTCGTCCAATCTTAAAAACTAAGGTGTCAATCTATTTGTAATAAAATTGCCTTAAAAAAGTTATTCTTGTAAAATTTTTGTAAAATCAACGGTTTTCGAGTTATTTAAGAAACAAAATTTAAAATGACCGCCATTTTGTTTTATGAATTTTACAAATATTCATAACTTTTTGGTAGCTTTGTCTAGTTGTCATAAATATTTGTGCAAAGTTTCAATTTCGTATGTTTAACCATTCTTTAGAAAAAATATAATAACTAAAAAAAACAAAATGGCGGCTGTGTGAGTAACTAAGGACTTCCGGACAATTTAAATATGATATTTAGGTATGTTAACTACCCAGGAACAATGCCCTAAAATATTGGTAGAGAGTTCCGGGACACCCTGTATATAAAATTCTCGTGTCACAGTGTTTGTCTGCAAACTCCTCCGGAACGACTTCACCGATCGTTATGAAATTTGGTGTGTAAATTCTGTAGGTATGCGAATCGGACGTAAACTATTTCCCGTTTCGAAATTCTTAAAAGGGCTCCGCCCCAGTGGCTCTGGAGTTTCCCATGTTAACCTTATGAGAAATGGAATTAATGAATCTTAACAGCTGTTTCAATTAAACAAGTTGGTTCTGTTCTATGATGTTCAATAGCATTAAAGTTACAAGGATTACCAACAGGGTGCAGCACTATTATTTCTTTTACATTTATGACAACAGCTAATTTGCAACCAAAAGGTGAGTGAGCGTAGCGAACGAACTTCAACCTGGAGGCGAGTTAGCGTAGCGAACGAGCTAACTTGAAGGCAAGTGAGCGCAGCGAACGAGCTCCAACCTAAAGGTGAGTGAGCGTAGCGAACGAACTTCAACCTGGAGGCGAGTTAGCGTAGCGAACGAGCTAACCTGAAGGCAAGTGAGCGCAGCGAACGAGCTCCAACCTAAAGGTGAGTGAGCGTAGCGAACGAGCTCCAACCCAAAGGTGAGTGAGCGTAGCAAACGAACTTCAACCAGGACGTGATTGAGCGATGCGAACGAGATCATCTTGAAAATTAAACGTAACGGTACTTAAATTATAAATAGTCAAAGGCAAGACAACGTCTGCCGGGTCGGTCTGTCTTAGGGGAAACCTATATAACTTAGGCGATACGAAGTTCGCCGGGTCAGCTAGTATATATATATATATTTATATATGTGTCCGTTTGCGCGATAACTCGAATAAATAAACTGTTCTAGTTTGCTTGTTTATGGATATATTTTAATCAAATTTGGCAATTTGGTTTATTTCATACTAAGCTATCAATATTTCAATTGAAAAAACACACCTCAACATCTTCCCCGTAGCAGCAAACCTAACTACTTACTAAAATTAATAAATTTATAGGGAATATTTTAGTAGAAATCAAGCCGGGTAAATGGAAATTCGCTTAGTATGCAGGTTTGCTGCGACGGGGGTATTTGAGTGATATGGCATTTTCAAGGGATTGAACTAAATGTTGTTTTCATCCACTCTGTAAAGAAAGTATCTAATTTCTATTGCAGCTTATATCACAACAATTAATTGTTTCCCAAGCTCTAATTTAAAGAAAGGGGACAACGATCAGCTGATTTTCTCTTGCTCTAAATAGATTTTCCCTTGCTCTCGATCAGTTCTATACTAGATCTTTACGCGTTCTAGTGTTTCTTTACCATTTATTTTTATGATTTAAATCTTCTGTTTTTGCTGTTTAACAATCTAAATGTACACAAAAATAGACATCAAGCTAGTTTTGTGTGTTTCAGCTATAAGTCCATGTTAACAATTTCTCTTAACACGTTCGCGGCAGCATGGGAGCGATCGCTCCCATACGGAACCCTAATGCCATCCTGGAGGGTGCGATCGCTCCCAAGCTGCAATGCAGTACGAAATGATTTATTTTTAAGCCAGGATTAGAGCTAGAAACTTGAAACCTCGCACAGCACTGCTCAATAGTATACTGTATTTTGTTGTGGTGTAGGTTGGTAGTAAATTTCCCCGTAAAATCCCCGTCTGGCAATCTCAAAATTCTACTTTTGTCCCGTCTTTTTCCCTCCATTTGGCAATACTATTCCAATGGGACCGGCTACGTTACAAGCAGTGCTGCTATCTGTTGGTGTTTAGCGAACTACGTCGACTCTCGTTGTAAAGCAGGACATCCTCGCACGTTATTTGCTATTTGTCAGACCGAAATTGGAAAGCCAATCACACGCGGCAATCGGGTTTGTTCGATGCTGAGGGCTGCGCCGCACCTGGCATACGCCCGCCATTTGACGTGCCGCCGCGAACGTGTTAATAAGTTTAACATTAATGAGTTTGATGACAAAAGCTTCAGGGATAACATAAACCATCTGCTAGAGGAGAAACAAATAGTTTTTTTCTTACTGTGGTCTGTTATTTTGTATGTGTTAGTTATTGCATTGTGGTGAAGAGTATCACTCATAACTAGTATTAAAAGTGATTTTCCATTACTCTCGTCCTCGGCTCCGCCTCCTACGTTAAATTTGTTGTTCCTGTATTTGACTTTTGCCTCATTCATAAAACTTGAGTGTGCACCAGAAAAGGCCTAGGAATTAAGTATTCTTGAATTGATTGTTGTTATTTATTTTGATAGTTTTTGTATGTGTGTTTCAGGTCTGCAATTATAGATGCTTTCAATAGAGCCAGAAGCAAATATATGTTTTACTCATAAAATGTTTACAAGTTGTACATGTAACGGGTGTAACAAGTGTGATAAATATTGTATTTATACTAACATAGTACAAGTCGGTGTTGCCTGTGTGCCAAATTGATTTATTATTTGAATATTCCATTAACACTTGACATAGCGACTATACAACTGACTGATTTCATAATTATCTCAAAGCTGAATCATATCCTGTACAATATGTAGCTTAAACCATAAATAAACATACATCATCAATAAATATTGTATATTTTGGATGTTTATATTATATTCCTATTAAAGTATATTGAAGATTTTACCAATAAACTAGACTTTTTATTTACCCTTGATTCTGATGTAAGTTATATTCAACCGTTATTTTTGTTATTGTTATTGTTTGTTATTGTTGTCTTTAGAAAAATACTAGGTCAAGTTTAAATACTTTTTAAACAACATGGCAAATCTAGTGAGTATATTTCCATCACTCAAAAACTACTCTGACCATATTAGCCAAAATTTTGCACTAATACAACTTATCTGCCTTAGATTACCATATACCAATTTTGATATTAAACCCAGAATTCTGGCATCAAGCAATTTCAAAAGTCTGTTTGCTATGTCTAGATTATCCAAACATGTTTTTATCTTACAGTACAAATGGCTCAGCAGAGTAAAACAAATAAAAAAAATACTTTGCAAAACTAAATGCAATTTTTTTTTATTATTTGTAACAATTAATTGTTCTCAGTTTTGGCTTTGTTGTTTCATAATGTTTCCCTCATGTAATCTTAGGCCTATCTGCCTTTGCTTGTATGTGTAAAGCCACTAGTTTTTATCACAGAATTTTCCTTTATGATGATGTACTCAGTACATCATCAGGTTCAAAATAAATTTACAAACTGCAGACATGATAGTTTATTTGTGATTGGTATCTATGTGTAGATTATTTAGGAGCATACTGGAACAAGAAAGCAGAGGGTGTTCGAATAGGTATAAATCTTTTCTCTCCGTCCTTAGAGATGACAATATAGTATTCCCTGCCATTGATGTTAACTTTTGCACCTTGTTTTGATTTTCCTTCCGCAAACCTGAAAACAAATGACATAATTTGATATAGACATGAGGTTTACAATTTTTAAACATAGGATACTTGTTATGTAATTCAATTTGTGGTACAGTCTTACTTGTTAGGCTAAATATACAATAATAATAACATATACAGGGTAGATTTCTGTAATCTGCTTCCTTTTAAATCCACGCTGTAGTGGCGCTATTGGTTGAAGTTGGGAAGAATGTGCGTGGTTTAAGCCATGTTTACACAAGTCCAGTAGGCAGTGAGGTACCCTGCCTCAGTTGATGTAGTTTGGTTACCTGTTGCAGGTAACATACCTGCCTACTAGCCTCGTGTAGTTGCGGGTTAATAGATTAAACCAGGAGGTTTCTATTTATCTGGTGTGCGAAAGTTAATGAATGTATGAATAAATGATTTCACTAACAACGTTCATTTACAATTTACAGCATCAATTTCATACAATGCATATAGAAGATGGAGTGTCCAATCGAAATCGATCACTACTTACCATCCTTTATGTGTATTTACCGTCTTGTTGTTTGACCTTGATTTGCAATTGGGTGAGAATACAGAAGAGAATAATGTAGTTCTTTAAATCTTTTGTAAAAAACAATTTCACACTCACCAACGATCATAGAGGCGGCTGTGTGATTGTACTGCATATTTTACAAAAATATTATCTTACAGCAGAAACATTGCCAAAAAAAAATAGATAATATAAGGTGCTATTACTAGGTGAATAAACATTTTTTGTTGTAATGTGATTGTTCACTATGGCTGACCTCAGTCGATTCCTGCAAACTATACCTAATTTTCACAGAAGATTTATTCAGTGGTAAAAACTAGATTATTGGATAAGCAAGTTTTACTCACCTGGAGAGAGCCATTTTGTTGGTGGGTTCCATAGAGATGTCCACAGGCCAGGAGAGTTTAGGATGATGAGGTTTGAAGCAGCGTCGCCACATCAGTTCAACGAAGAACACTGTCACGGCTGTGGAAAAGCCAGACACCACTACGATGTAGGTGGTCCAGAGATCAGAGTTGCGCAATTGGCGCTCCTTGCTGCCTAGGTTCAGTGGACATATGGTAGCCTCTGGAAGAAGCTCCTGCACACGATGTTGGATAATGCCAGACTCAACAAATGCCAACAGTCTGAAAAAAACCATTCAGTCACCAGTTGAAGGTGGTCCTAAAATGCAAATTCCTTTCGTGTATTGCCAACATTCTGGGTCTAAACATTTGTGTTGGGAAGCAGCCATATCAAAAAGAAAAAAACCCATTTCTAGCAGAAGAAACTTAAAATAGGTATACCGAAAATTAAAGCTAGAATATTTAACTCTCACCTAGGCCTACAACATTTTCAACCAATGCAGGGTCGGATTAGAAGGGAATAAGATCATCCACTTCTTTAGCCAGGACAACTGGGATCGTTATATTAATATTTTTGACATCACATCTTTCTTCTTTTAACTTAACAATTTGAGTTACTTACATGGGATCAAACAAGGAGGGCAGAATGCTTGTCTTGGGGTAAGCAAAGGCAAGGTTACGAGAGAGGTAAGAGCCTTGTGTCAGCACATATGTACATCTGTCTTTCTCTTCTGTCCCTTTGGCTGTCTTTGCCATGTAATCCTGCAGCAGGAACAACTTCAGCTTGCGGTTCTCCTCTAGGTAGAGCCAGTCTGCAACTCATGACAAGATAAGCGCTGACACATCAGAGTGTGTATTTGAAGGCGAAGATGAGTGTTAAATAGAGGGGATAATAACTTTGTTACAGAGATCAGCTGGTACTAAGCCTGGATCATTTATGAAGCCAATGATCACGTACAGCTGGGTCCAGTCTCAAACCATCATATAAAAGCTACTTGCTTTACTTAGGATGAAACCGTACTACATCCAACTATCCAGCCAGATAGAGTAAGCATTATCATCGTCTTAATTATTTTTAGTTTTACTGCACTAACAATACTGGTTAGTTCAAAGTTAGTAGTCCAAGTTTGACTCAGAGCAGGTTACAGCATACAGCCGTTTTTGTTGAGTTATGCTTGCATTTGAGCCCACTTAAGTCTGAAGCTCCTAAAAAAACCATCTATAACACAAAGTTAGTTATTTCTAGCAATGAGAACTTTTTCTCTGTGTAGAACACCATCCATTAGAAACCAAATAAACATTTGTCATAGTTTAATGTAGATGGATAAAATATATATATCCCATATTCTATTTGACAATTTAACTAACCTTCGGCCACATATTGTTTTACTTTCACTTCATCTGAGGTGTCGATGAACTGTCCAAGGTTTTGGGACACAGATCGCCTCAAAGTACTCAAGTCTCCATCGTCATTGTTCTGGAACAACAGTATTTAGTTTTTGAAAGGGGTACACAACTGACATACCTTGTTTATTTTTAACTTGACAAAAAGTACATAAAAATATTATTTGTCCACTATATACAGTTAACGTGTACAGTATTACATCTTTTATTTTCTTAAATTATCATGCAGGGAAAATGGGGAAACAAATGTTGAATTCACATGATAATTTATTGACTTATTGATTAACTAATTTATTGATATAAAATGTTCTACCTCAAAGAAAAGTAGTTTTCTTTGCACTAAAGGTCTATGTAGTACAGTTTTTGCATAATAAATTACCTACCAAAAGCTATTTGGACAATGTTTCCACAGATTTTAATACCATACTACTGGTACATTCCCAATATGACAACTCACAAATGTTTTGAACTCAGTTCTAAGTAGTAATACTGACCATGACAGCATACTCTATTGGTCCTCCTTCAGTGGCGAACCAGAATCTGTGAGTGCGAGCAATGTCCGCTACATTCTCAATGGGTAGAGTGAAACGTGAGAGAGTGAGGAAAGCTGTGAGATTGGCTGTGTAGAACGCAGTCAGAATCATAATGAAGATCCACCAAGTAGCAAACAGCAGCCTTGTAGAATCTGTAGATATAAGTGTAACTTAAACTACTGTGGTTAGAGCGAGGTTTTAGTTAAGCTCTTAGTTTGTAGTTGTGGAAAATGTTGACTTCCACGGTCTATCTCGTTGTCTTTTGGGTTGGACGGTGTTGACAAGCTGTGTTTTAATGATCACATTTTGGAGACGTTGCAGCTTGCAACTCTCCATCATCAGGTTGTTTAAATCAAATAGTAAAGGCAATACACAAACTTCACCTTAACTGAGCACTTCTAAGAACTATTTTAATGAGTAGTTTTTGTAGTGACTTCACTACTGAATTTATGACATGGTCTAATCCTAAAGACGAGTTTACTGAATGTGATAAGCACTATTGTTAAGCGCTGTTATGTGTGTGTGGCTGTGGATGGATAATTTTGGCACAGTTTGAATAATTTTTAATTCTAATTATAGGCTTTTCATCATATGTTCTAGTTTCCTTATTAAAAATCTTTATTCCCCCAGAATGTGACAATAAAAATATTTTATAAAACCAAAAACACGTTTTTTAATGATTTTAAAGTATCATTTTTCAATATGCCGCCATTTTGTTTCTACAAGGGTTAGGAGTTGAAATTTTTCCAAAATATTTTTAAAACCTATTTTACATATTGTGTAAAGTTTCAAAATATTTGGTGCACAAATGGTCAAGTAATTTAAAATCAAACGTTTGAACCTCTTTGTGGGGTATAATAAATCTATTTAATCAATGCCTGTCTAGTATTAAATACTCATTTAAAACTAATATTTAGGACATTCTGTGAAAATATATATGTATATAAGCACATTAACAACAGATCAATACACTATATGATTCACGTGACAGTTTAATTTGAGTTTGATAAATTAAGCAGCCATTTGCTAAATTTGTAATAAAGAGTGCTGTTTCCTTGTCAGTTACCTACAGTATTTGCTGGGTATACCCCCTCACCATCCGTCCGTCAATATATTTGTTTACCTTTCAGTCGATGTTGTTTATCTGTCCGATCGCATTGTTTGATCTCCCATTGACCAGTACCACTACTCCATTACTTTTGTATTGAAGTAAACAATGGCTTGTTTGCAACATTGCATGCAACCTCAAAACTAAAGTGCTGATATTATATTATTTAAGAGAATATGTTTCCAAAGTGTTTTTTAAAATCACTAAAAAATATAACAAATTGAAGATGAATTTAATTAATTAATTATCTATATAGGTACTAATTTCCTGAAAAAATAGGGTTTTCCAAGAGATTTAACTAAAATCTTAAGACAAATTATGAATAGTTATGTTTATTTATTTATTTTTAACAGAATTATAATATGAGTACGCTATGGTAATTTATTTATACAGGGTGTGCCGTAAGTCAGTACAAAATATTTTGTAATAGGTTTAGTGGGTCAAAACAAAAGAAAATTTGAGAATAAAACCTTTTTTAAAACACCTTGGTAGTGAGATATCCACAATTTTGCTTTTGTGTGTTTTCAATCTATATATTAACGCTAGGCATATTTTTGTCATAATTGTTTTGGAGTGGTAGTGCTACCAATCACCATGTCCAAGGTGTCGTTAGAAAGGTTTTAGCATGTAGTTTTGTCATCAAACAAAAAAACTTTGGAATTCCATAAGGGCTCTGCCCCAGTGGCCTTCAAAGTCCCCATGTTATTCTTAGGGAGAAAATGTTTGTTTACATTTGAACAGATGAATACTTCAAATTGACACTAATATTTGAAACAGCTGGTTATACAAAAATTTTGTACAAAATCAAAACATAACCAAAAAAACGTTCGACATAATGGAGACTATAAGACGTTGACCAGGACAGCCAACAGGAGGAAGCCGAAGAATTTTAACTGGTATATGAGAACGAAATACAAATAATACTATTGTCGTTGATAGCCGAATACAGCAAGAACCCTTCCGTGTTGGGTTTAAGTGTGCTCTCCAACAGCCGCCTGAAGATTTCATATTCAATTTAGGACTGTTGGATAATCCCTGCATAAGCTGTTGATTTTGGAAGACAAGGAGGCGGGTAGGACTACATCAGAAACAGAAGAGAGGAGATATTAGATGACGGGCAAATGCGTTGGGAGCAGAGTGTTTTATGTTAACGTTTTAAAGGTAAACGTTCGTATATATACCTAACATCAGATAGAGACTGGAACAAGATTGGGAGATGGGCCCTTATGAAACGCAGTTTGTCAAAGGACATGGACAATTTCAAGGCGAATTTGTGAAGATTTCACATGGTGGAAGAGGAAGTATGTAGATGTGGAGAAATAAAAACCACGAGTCTTGTATTTATAAATTGTTCCCTTCAGGAGACAAATAGGAGAGAACAGGAATAAGATAGGCCTAGAGATGAGAAAATAAAACATGATGAGTGACAAGGAAACAATTGAGACATTTAGAAAAGTAGCTAGGGAAATAGGGAAAACCAGGGATACATACAGGAGTTAAAATAAAAAAAAGAAACAAACAAAATATAAGAAAGAAAAGGAATGAAAACTTGCTTATGAAGGGGAGAGGAAAGGTTAGAGTGAATCTCAATGATCCCTATAGCTCAGGGCGGTATGGGTAAGGGAGTCGTGCTGTTAAAAGGCTTTTGGACACATAATGTGTCTGGAAACCTAATGTGGCCATGAGTAAGGCTATTTGTAGAAAACACTATTTACATTAAATGTTGATTATATCGATCTGTCATGTACATCTTTAGTATTTTCATAATCTTTGAGTCGAATATTTTAAAGTTATCAGAAATTATGACTGTTATTCGTTTTAAAATAACGCCTGTAATTCTTAGCAATTGCTTGAATTCGAGCAACAGGTACACTAGTTTATACCTTAAAGATGATTAAAGATATTTTTTATAAAATTTAGTATACAACTTGAAAAAAATAGCGATTAAACAAATATTTGTTGGATTTGTTGGTTTCAAAATGGCGACCATCTTTTAAATTAACTTACATTACTAAAAATGGGTGGTATTACGACACTTTGTTTAGCAAATATAATTTCGTATTAAACAACACCAAGTTTAAGAAGTCGAGGAAGTAGTAATTCAGCTGAGAAATTACTATTTTTAGTTTTACAAGCCAGAGTCTTATTTTGCATATAAAAATTGTGATTTCTCAGTTGTTTATTTATTATCTTGTCCCAGGCTGTACAGTTATAAAGGGTTGATGTTGTACTGTAGATTTACCTGTAACAGGGTTGAGAGTAGAGCCCTGCTTCATGAGAGCTCCGTAGACGAACCATACACAGGCAGACAAGGGATAGACCTTGATGTCTTTGTTGTCTCCGATGCGAACCCTGAGGTACATCACAAGGTACATGATCGGCCCCACAACCAGCAGCGACAGTAAAATTAGAAGCCACACCTGAGGAACATAAAACCTGAACAACTCGAAGAAAATTTTGTACTAAATCTTCTATAATTTTGTATTGTGAAATCTGTTAAGAAAATATTTCATTTATGAGTTGGTTATAAAAAGTATGAAGAGTATTTAATTTAAAACATGAAGATAACAGTTATTTAAGAAAAGTTGTAACTGAAAGATAGATACCACCACATCACTACCTCCAAGAATAAAGATGAAATCATAGTCACAGTCAACCATGAGATTAGTGAGCACCTGTTGTGGATGCTTGGGTTTTTTAAGTTATGGTTATAGGAATTGCTCCAGTGTGAACATATGTTTCATTGGTTAGTAACAAGATTAAAATAATAATAATTGAATAGATCAATATTCTTCCCATGGCCGCTTTTACTCAAGAAGTAGTTTATAGTACAGTATGTACTTTATTAATAACTTGTTAAGTGTGGTCCTATGATTCCTTTTGTTTTAAATGTTGTCTTTTCTTTTTTCTCTTGTTGGTCTTGTTTTTCAACCTAGACAATCTGCTATTCTTCAAAAGTAACTAACCTTCCTCCTCCCACAGAAGAAGACTACCAGAAGATCGCAAAAATTTGAGTTACTGTAGAAAAATATACCAAGAGCTATGAACCCTCCTCTCCATCATTCAACATTCTTGCAATACTCTCCCCCCCCCCCCCTCCCACTGATAGACAATCGTGAGCATATCACAACAGAAAGCCGTACTCAGCATCAGTATTTGTTTTAAATTAACACTTTAAAATAGTTTGAAACCTTTTCTCTACTCAGTTCCATAGCATTTCCAATCAAATCCCTAAGCCTGAGAAACTATTCAATATTTGTTGTCGCTACATCAATGTGTCTATTCATCTTTATTGTTTCTCATATGCATCTTCTGTGTTTTTCTTTGTTTTCCATCATTAAGGAAGTGTTTGAAAAAAATAATATTCCTTTTCTGTTTAAGGGTTTTTTTTTTACTTGTCATTTTAGTATCTCACTTACTTCAGTGTCAAACGGAGCCAGCAGTCCAGAGCCCGAGGCCGACTCCTTGGGTCGCTTCATGAGAACGTAGTAGTCATTCTGCACCATCTCCACCCCCCACAGTACCATGCGGTGACTCCCTGGCACCACGGGGAGGAAGGCTGCAGCCATGTCAACCTCCTGTCACACAGTCATATGATCATATTGCTATATACACAGTATGACACAATGATGCTATATACGCAATATGACGCAATGATGCTATATACGCAAACATTTGACTATTGATAGAGCTAGACATTCAATTGCTATGTAAAACCTGTCACCAGTTTTTGAATTAAAAATATAGATTTTTTTAAATAAAGAGGTTGGCACTTGGCAGCCTCTATTAACCATGTACTTGCCCGTCTACATAGGCCTTGGGCCTGTGCATGGAAAGTATTCAACAATGCAAGGGGTACAGTACTACGGTTAACTGTACTGATAAAAAGTAGTGGAAGATACCAGTATTTGAATCCACGACATGGCTGCCTTGGACCCAAAGTCCTTGGTGCTACCATCAACTGAGCCATAAACTCACCTGAAGATGTAGTTAAACTGAGCTGATTTAAGTTACTGATATCTGTAAAATATGCTAACTTTGAACTAAAGTAAAGCTGATACAATGACTTATTCTATGTAAGCCATGTATAATCTTTTATACCAAATAATTTAATAAACTATCAAAGTATCAATAACCAATAAAGGGAGTAAATAGATTTTTAACTGTGTCACACTCTTTGAGTGGCTTTTTATCAACCATATTCTAATCTGAATAAAATATTGGTTACAGCCATTCATAGAGAGGATTTTTTATTATCCAAAAGTCAATTACAAAACCTAATGCAAACATAAAATAATCTAAGGCTAAACTTTCATGAACTCAACACTGAAAGTAAACATACATTTTACATTAACTTAATTGTATGATGACTAAGCAGCCAAAAGATCAAAGTTTATGGGACTTAAATTGTGAGAAACCTTGTTAGTATGCAAGTTGTACATGCAAGTGACATTGGAATCAACTAATTTTAAAATTACCTAAGCAAATGATTTCCTTAGGTACCCCTTTTTTTCGTTAAGGATTTCAAAAACCTATTGCTAATGATAATTTTTTTTACTTAAGCAACATGAACAACATGATATTGTTCTTTGACAGATTTGGAACTATGTTTATTTATTTGACAATTTGGTTCCTACTGTGATTTAGGTCGAATTTTTTAATTGTTATGTTTGGTTATAACCTCAACAACATCCATTAATCTTTGTTTTCTACGGTTATAGCAGTGACACTATCTATTACACTTGTTTAGTGACATTAATATTGAATGTTTCGTATTCTCAAGCTAACCCCTTTGTTGAGCATGCTGAAGATTCCCTCGTGTTCATCGCCAAGTATGTTTCGCTCTGGGGTCAACACCTCGTATGAGAAGCCAAACTTTTCCTTTAGCACCTCCACCATCTCAGCTGCTATCCCATCTAGCTGCAGCTCTGTCCCGTTCATCTTCACCCCAGAGAGCGGCATATCCCTCTGTGTAACACCACAACACCCTGTTGAAGTTGTTTGGGAGGAATACTTAAGATATAATAGGCCTAAACGGCTTCAGCAATCAGACATTTAATTTCTCTCATTAGCTTGTCAACAACCTTTATCATGGGTAAGTGGTGGGAGTAACTATGCTATTTTATGGGGAAATCACAAAAGTTGCAACATTTTAATGGTAATTTTTACAGTGATGGGGTTGTACCATTTTGTTTAGAGCATAATATACTAAATTTTAATGAAGTAACGGTCATCAAAGACCGTAAAAACGGTTGAGCAGTTTTTTCAAATACAATTTAATTTGTCAATTTATGGGGTTTATGGGAAAATCACATTATTTCAATAACTTTTGAACTGTCATTTTTACAACAATTCAAAAAAAGTGTAAATTATAATTCCCATGTTATTCTTATGGAGAAGAAGAAAACTGTTGTAATTTGTTTGTTTATGGATAGGCCTATATTTTAATTGAATTTGACAAATTTGTTCATTTCATACTAAGCTATCAACATTTCAATAACAAAAACACACCTTTATACCTTACCTGTAGCAGCAAACCCAAGTACTCATTAAAATTAATATTATTCAATAGGAAATAAATGTGACAATTTTAGGGGAATATTTTAGTGCCAGCCACGTAAATGAAAATTCGCTTAGTCTGCAGGTTTGCTGCGGCAGGGGATTTGAAAAAAAGATGAAAAAAATCAAAAATCTGAGTTAAATTTCATGAATTTATTTACAGTCTGAAACAATTGACCATGAATGTATGTAATCTAACAAAGTTAACTGATTATCTGTAGCATTGTGGGAGTGTACCAGCTGTTTCTGACAGAAGGACAAAGCTGCTTTGATGAGTCACTCTCACCTGGTGAAGTGAGGACAATCAGCTGGAAACACAGCCAATTACAATACATCGATCTTGAGCTGCTCTGCTTTCTAAACCAGGCTATATAGTAATGAAATTTAAAATGTTGTTATTGCCTATAAAAATTGCTACATAAGTTATTTGGTATTTTTATGATATAAATTTAATTCATGGGGGAAGAGAATATAAATACCACATAGCTAATGAAGCAATATTTATGGGAAATATTATACCATTTAACTTAACTGTTTAGTATTGGTTTTCAAAAATTCTTTGAGTTTGGCTTTTGCGTGAAAATTACCATCTTTGGTCCACCTGAACCAAAAAAAGTGGTTTTTGAAGTGATGTATGTGTGTCTACAGACTACACCTACCATGGATCATACTAATCCATGGTATCTCCAGGTGTTTTAATATTTATTAAAATTTGATAACAAAATACATAATTTCAAAAAACTACTCAGACAATTTTGATTAAAATTTTGTATCTTGTGGTCCTTTTAACTCTTAAAAAAAATAACTGTACAACACCTCCACAGTTGGGTCTTTTTACACAATGCTGTAAAAACTAGGTTTGTAGCTATTGCAATTTTTTTAATTTTACCCATGATACATAGATACCCCCACCACCTACCCATACTAGGGTAAGGGTTGTTGACAAGCTTATGGACGAAATTATGTGTCAGGTTGCTGATACTGTTTATTTAGATTTTAGTATAAATATATTTGTGTATAAATAAAACTTATTTATTGAAAATATAAATCATAATAATATTGAGTAAAAGCATTCAACAACAAAAATACAAAGAAATTTGTATGAAGAAAGAAAGTGTTGATCGGAAAATAACTGACTGAGAAATTGTTGGACAAAAAATAATCTACAGAGGGGTGCAAACATATCTTCACAGTTGTAGTGAATTAATAAATACTTATTCTAGGGGCCTCAAAAGAGTCCTTTGAATTCACATGGTAAATGGGCTCCTCCCTCAACTGCAGACTCTCTCAACTGGACCGTACTTTAGTAGAACTTTGAAATCTTGCATGAATCTTAAATGTAAAAAGTATTAATACTAATTATCATTAGGATTGTTTGCCACAGTTTTCCAAGAACATAACAACTATTATTGTAGTATTTTTAGACATTCAATCAATCAATCAAATACCTGTAATGTTGCGATTTTAAGCTTCTTTCCACGCAGCAACTCTTTCTTAAGCTGCTCATCAGTTTTCAACACACATTTAAATGTGTCTCTTGGCGAACGGGTATAAGCTGAAACAAATATGTTGTTTTATACAAATAAGCAAACCAAATGGTTTTTTTTATTTTTTTATGAAATTTGTATAAATTTAATGCATCCTTATATATAGTACGTGAAGGCGATTTATACGAAACACTACTCCTCCGATAATAATGGGCGGATTTTTACAAACGATGTGTCAAAATTAAGTATTTTTTGTGTATACCCCCTTTCACCAATTCCTGTAATAAAAGTCTTCGGGCTTTGCCTCACAGGTCATTAAAATCACAATGTATTTCTTGTGAAGAATAATTTTGTTTACTTAAACAGACGAATAATTTGTATTAATTACAGCTGTTCATAGAAAACGCACATGATGGGGTTTTCACACAAGAGCATTAGTTTTCAGAGTGGGTTTGTTTTCAGTTTCTATAACTGAAGTGGAGTGAGCGTTCGTTTTCAGAGTGAGTTCGTTTCCAGTTTCGATAACTGAAGTGAAGTGATTGATTACATTATCTTTGAGTGGACTCCTTTAAGTCATCGGAAATTGTGACTGTTATTTGTTTTTAAATATAACGCCTGTAATACTTTGCAATTGCTTGAATTCGAGCAACAGGTGCACTAGTATGTTCAATTTGCAGAGGTGTAATTGAAAAAAGTACAGTCTGTGGTAATAGTTTTTTAAAACATGAAAACAATGATTAGATACAGAAACCAGCGAAACTATCAAGACGTGACTAATGTTTCAGCAGGTACGGTACCAAGGGATTTCGAAATTTACCTTAATGTGAAATCTCAATAGCTAATCAATTTTACTAATAAAATAGGCTTGGGTGCTTTAGGAAACTATGGAGCTAAGAAACTATGAAAGCTCTTTAGGTTTTGTAACTGTGCATTGCTTTTTCGGTCGTGCTATCAGCAGTGTCAGGTTTAGGGTACAACATGAGAATAATAGTAATAGTTATGCAAAGATAGCAAAAATATTGAGTCAAAAGAGCTATTTTAACAGGTATAAATCAACTTTTTTAACCAAGCCAACCTCAGCCAATCACCCAAACAAATTGCAAAATTATCCCAAATGTCCTTAATTATTGAGCTTTTGAAAAATAGTCCTGACTGAAGAACAGCTGATCTTAGTCAGTAACAATAGCCGCTCTCCAATCTACATGTATTCATTATTCAGCTTAAAATTTGCTTTTTGTTGACTATTTCAAGAGTCATCAAGGATAGTATTAAACCGAAATATATTTATCCAATATGTCTACTTTTTTGGTAGGTTGAATAAGACTGTATTCTATTCATTTGATATGTTTAAAACACATTCTCTGCGGGCGTTGGATCAATCCAAGGGGTAGGAACGAACGTGGAGAAATCAAAACCTAGACCTTTGTACACTCATGGCGTTGGTTGTGTATCCAGCAAATGTGGGACATTGTTTATACTTTTCCGGCTGTAGGGAAAGGTCTTTTTCTGATATATTGATAGTCATAGTTATAGTTTCAAGTTTTGCCACTGGAGCGCTGAAAGCGGGTGTTGTATTTTGATGCTACCATTAGTTTAGCATATTTGACATAGTATATTAGGCACATTTTAACAGCAAATATCTTAAGCTTTAAGCTATTACTTGGATAAGGAGTGGTGGTGGTTGTAGAGTTGTAGTAGCTTGGAGGGTAGTTGGCACACAGGCTGGCCAACAGAATGTTGACAAGCCCTCGCTCCATGTCAGTGCTGCCAACTTACTCAGGTCACTGCAAGATAATTAACCATATTATTATCTATGCTGGTATTGTTTCTATAGGTTGAGTTCATCTTTTAATAGTTTGTTGGTCACAATTAAACTCTAAAACCAAGTGGGTTCTTTTATTGTGAAATAAAAAATATGTTTTTCATAACAAATTCATGATAAAGGACATGCAAATGGAACAGTTCATAATGTTGACCAATACTTGTAAAAGTATCATACACAACAAGTATCTCACTGTCCAAAACTAAATTAAAAAGTATTTCAAAAGTGTTAACTTTTAACATTCATTTTAACAGTCTTAATTTTTCTGTGAATCATAGAATTGACATTTTTGTGGTTTGGAAACAAATTGTGTTTGGTTTTTGTTCTATTCAATGATTCTTTTTTACATGAATGTATCTATTTCTTAACATTTCAATTGAAGATTAATAATCTCCAGATTTTTTAAAGTTTTGTACTCATCAGTTCTAATAATGCTGGCAAATATAAAAAAATAATTTAAGTACAGTAGAATCACCCTCAGGACCGGGAGCGTGAGGGTTGATAGCAACAGATGGATAATAGAAACCTTCTTATAAACCTGTACAGCAAGTTGATTTAAAGGGTTTTGGAAGAAAAAAACCCTGTACAAGTGAATAATGCATAGGTATTAGTTATACTAAAATTAATTACATACTGTACAAGAGTAATATAAAACTTTTATTTTGTTGTTGTACAAGTTACATGCTCGTATAGTGGAATAAAATCACATTTAAGAATAATTTAAGTACTGTAGTGGGGTGACGGATGGCAGAGAGTGACAATTAAAATGGTGACAGTTAATCAAGGTTCTACTGTAATCATAGAATTGTTTTGGTAGACATTTTTAAAAGTAGCTGTTAAGTCATAGTTCTAAAATATGTGTATTGCAGTAAAAAGCTCAATTTACCTTGAATGCAAAACATGAAGATGCCACCGGCACAACAGAGCTTGTAGCACTAAAGTGTTGGTAAACGGAGCTGTTAGTCCTGATTGTCACCCTTCCACCCTCAACCACTTACCCCCTCCCTTCCAACCCTCACACTCCATATCAAACCATTCTTTACATGATTGTTTGAATGTCCTGCGATCGGTTGTGGTGTCAACAGAAATGGGCTGAAACATGCAACTTTGACATTTACATTGATCATATGACCAAAAGGCTCACAAACAGGACAATTACTTACAACACAATGAGTAGACATTCTGTAAATATACTTGACCTCTGAAAATTCAATGTCTTTCTTGAGTACTCAGGAGTTTGAACAAAGCTGGCCATTCAATAGTCTGTCACACATCTTGGCCAAAGAATATTCCTTCCCCTTAAGGATGTATAACTTGTTTATTGCTCGTGTAGCAATCAGTTGATCCTGACAAAATTATAAACTTTACTGATGGCTTGAAACTGGAAGCAGCTGTCCTTGATCTTTTAGCCTTTAATAAATGGTCCTGATTAATGGAACAGATAATCTCAGTCAGTAACGCAGCAACAAAAAGGATTTCACTCCTCCGGCCCCAGACTGATCTTCCATTCATAATTTTGTTTTAATATCCCTTACAGTTGTTACAGAAATGTGAAGTGATCTTGGTAGTTGAAAATAAAAGGAAGAGTGTAAGAGTAACAGAGTAAACATCCTCAGGGTATTGAATAAACATGTATTAGGAATAAGTCAATCAAATTGAAATTCTCTATTTAAAATTACCCATAAAAATTAAATTGGTCATTTGCATATTATTTGTTCTGCTATGACACACAGTGTGAATTCTGTTCTGATAATTGATTTTAGAAGAAAATACTATTTTTCATATCTGATGATTTTAAAACCAAAAACACAACTTTACAGCTCTTTGAGGCATAGCCCTGTGGTAAAATATATTTCCACACTTTCCACACTGGTCAAAAGTAACTAAATGCCACCTCACTTTCGCATACTATACATGTTGAGATTGTCATTGACAACAATGCCCAATGTCTTGATGTGAAATGTGGGCAAATATAAGGAAACTTAAGAGTTATCAGATCAGGAACTGACATCGAAATATTGTCGTGGTAAATTCAATAGGGGATGGGTCTATTGGCGGTACAGTCCAACAATTACGGCACATTAGTGAGTCTAAACCGAAATCGACACAATAATGGAAAATTATTTTTAGCATCATTTGTGAACCTCTGTTATAATCACACAAAACGTCATAAAAATCACCCCCTAAAAATGGCAACATCCGTTTCATGATGTTGCTCAAATAATATATATCTTCCCCCTATGGTTGGATAGCTCAGTTCAGTGGTTATAGTGCTCAAGTAAAAACCAGAATGTTGTTAATTGCCAAGAGCTCATGAAATTCTCTTCTTTAGAACATCCGTAATCAAATCAGGCACAGCAAGCATGATTTTTTTTATGAGAATTTAAATTTCCCTGTCATCAAACTCAAGAACAGTACAATCCCACTTTCCCAGTCCCTTGTACATCCTGTACTAGTAGTACATAGTACATTTGATTTTATGTTTACAATGATTACAAACTACCGGTACATCAATAGCAAACAATTTAATCTGATTTAAGTCACAAAGGTATTCATCTCACTTTGGTTTTGGCTTTGCTTAAATGTGTAAAAAGTAATTGAAAATAATTGCACTATTTGTAAACAGCTTGAGCTTAAACCTATAATTGAAACATTCCATGAAAGTTTGCAGAAAGAATTTTTATCCTAATAGATGTTTGTTATTTTGTAGATGACGGCTATCTATCTATACTCATAAAAGGCAAATACCACTCACTGGTCACTATTTCTCATAAACTTGAAGCCATAAGAACAGGCCACAGGAATTGGAATGGAGGTTACAATTAAGCTCTAGGTGTGCAATAAGATTCGTTTTCAGGAAATTCCATCAGGGCTCTGCCCCAGTGGCCTTTGAAGCTATAGCATGTTATCCTTATCAAGAAAGGTGTGAATGAAATTAATTTAAATGAAAAAGTGCTTTATTTAACAAAAAATAACAGGTTTACAATCATTCATGACTAGTAAAGAGCCTAAACTATACAATTACAAAATTAAATGGCTAGCACTTACAGCAATGGTCTTTTGGACCGTCTGTTGGTTGGCATATAATAAAACAAGTATCTTTTCATTTTAAAATAAAAAATAATAAATAAATATATACGGTATAGAAAGATGTGTTTATATTACAACAGAGGAATACTTTTTTTAATTTTACACTATTAACTAACTAAAGGGAACAGTTGCTTGTATTTATTTGGTTGAAATTAAAATATTTGTATTATGTGGCTAGAAAATTGGTGTTTCACCGCATATCACTTTTCGTAATTAATTGTTGAATGAATAATTAAAAATCATGATATTTACACTACTGTATTTCTTGTGGTTTATAGGATCTGTGTTTCTCTTCAACTAAATAACAGCCTATGATTTAATGTGTCCAGAATATCAAACTTGATTATTTATAATCGGTGCTCAAGAGATAAGATCAGAAGTTCTTTATAAATTCAATCACTGCCATCCCTAATAAACAGGATAATAATAATGTCACAATCGTGCAATTGCAAATAAGTATGTTGCTTTATAATCCGAGTTGACGTTTTAGGTGGTTTATGAAAGGTATTAGCAGTTGAAATGAATTACAAATGCTTTTTTATTTTACTTCATGGAGAAATGTATGCATGATATGGAGTTTTAATAATTCCTTTTACTGGACATTTAAGAGTAGCCACTTTTATGTGTGTACATTCCGCTTGGTACAAACGTCGTACACCCTGTAGACCTGCAACTGTTTAGGGCCTTCGAGTTTTATAGAAGCACAATAAAACCTTGTGCAAACTTTGATTTTACTTAGTATTATTTTAAGATACATATACGTTTCAATAAAGTTATGGGAGAACTGACTGTACTACTGGAAAACTAGGTTTAAGCAAGTAAACCTAAGTGAAAGGAGTACAGTGTTTCTAACCAAAACCATATTATGTAGGTGGTTTCAGAGTGAACAGTCCAAAGCTCTTGGTAGAAGGACAGTTAATGATGTAAATGGAGAAGTTCTCTCATAGTTTAACTTAAGTTGTCATATATGTTTATCCTACGTTTTCGTGAGCAAGGCCACAACAGATTTAGGTAGTTATCTATAAACAGATGATTGGTATTTTGATAAATGATGCATGTATTATACATTCGGAGAATGTGATCAATATTGAACGAAACTGGGTTTTTGAATGTTGAATATTTTATTTATAAATTAGTTTAATCAAGTTTTAATGCCTAAAGACATTATTATAAATCCAGAAAATACTGTAAAACCAATTTATTCTTTATCGGTGCTTTATTTTTAGCGGGGTAGGCATTTTAGAGTCACAGACACACATACCGAAATTGAGACAAGACTCGTTTTAGCTTCCTTGAGCCATTAAATGTAAAAATAACCAAAATCTGTTCAATCCACTGCAAAAACTATAGTTTTATTTATATAGATAGGTCTGAAGTGTATCTATGTATACATGACAGTGACAGATTAATATCCTCCCAAGTAATGGTTGTGATATAAATAGTCTCCCCGCAGGTGGTCTGGCAGTCACCTATATATTGATCTGAGCCTTGGCACTCTTCCTCAGTTATAACCAGACGAACGTTGTTTACCTAGAGAAACCTATCAATCAGAGTAGGCTACTTTTTAAGATTAAACATTCATTTGTCTCAAAAGTATCTAATTTTGATTTCATAAAGGAATTTATGATACCATAGGATCCAGAACATGTAAAATCTGTAATGAAGCATTTATTACATTGATTTATCAATGAGCCATTTCATGCGGTCTAATTATTAGAACATTTTAATTGGATTTTTTTAGTAGGTAATGGAATTCATTAATTTAGCAATCAATTTGTTTTTACTTAATTAGTCCTTGTTTTACACACTTTTCTCCAACCTATGGTGCACATTACTTTGTTACTCTTTGTCTTCCTGTTGGATCAAAAGCATATTAATTGTATTCATGGGAAAAAACTTCTTTTAAATAGAAATATGGTTTGTTTTCCTCAAAAATTACAATAATAGAAGTAATCTTTTACATTTCAATATTCCGCATGTTGGCTAACTCAATGTTAGTTAGCGTCAGGCAGAGTGGAGTGATCAAGATAGAAGAACCATTTTGAAGCAAACGAGTGGTGTAAACATGTACTGACATGCAACAGCCTGTATGTGACCTATTGCCCTTCCTCCTGTCTGTATATTGCTCGATCACATGTGAGTGATCGACACTCGACACGTTATACAATATGTGCAATAGACTCTTCTCCCAACACTCACAATATGATCCATAAGTTTGAAATGCTTCTTGTCAGTATATCCAGTGAAAGCTTTCAAACTTTCCAATGAGGTTTTAATACTTTGATATGATTTTAAAAACTAACTTATAATACAGAATTTTTGAAAATATAAAACTCAATATTGAACCTTAGCTCACTGTATGGATAAAATAATTGATTTAAAATAATTGAGATGGAAATTGTGTAATTCAAAAAATTATTATATCGGAACAACCTGCTATAAATTTGAAATTCAGAATAAAATATGTGTATGTAAAACCAATAAAATATTTTTAATATCTGATGATAAAAATTAGGTAACTATTTTTACCTAAGGCGTTAGAGAGGTTGCCTTGATTTCTGAAGGTTGCTGATTCCATCTTGATTGAAGTTTGAAACTGAGCTCATCTGTCCATGATCATTTGTGGTTTTAATAATGATCTAGTGTAAATATCAACCTTGTCTTATACGGACCCAAAGATTTCTCATCAGTCAAAAACTCATACCGGTAGGTTTGTTCATTTATGTCTTAACACATTGAAAATTGTGCAATTGATTGCAAATAAATATTTTCATTAAATTAATATTTAAATAATTAGTACATTCAATTTAGTAGTGATTTTGATCGACTTTGCCACTATGTGTGTATTTTAACCCAAATATGAGTGAAGGATGAGTATAGGATGAGTGGTGCGATCTTGTAGTCTTGTTGCAGTAGTGACTACCAACATATTCCTTAGACACATAGACTTATAGCTGGGTAGCTGAGCGGTTTTAGTGATTTCCTAGTAATCAAAAGGTTGCCGGTTCAATCCTGGGAAACGTGTGTAGCTTTTGATCGTTCGAAACTAGACCCAGCTGTCATTGATCATTGGGCTTTCAATAAATGGTCCTGACCAATGAAACAGCTGGTCTTAGTCAGTAACAAAGCTACACAAGGCATCCTTCTCCATTCTACCATTGGTTCTACACTCATCCTTCACTCATATTTGGTTTAATATACGCGTCTGGCATCCCCATGTAAAATGAATATGAATAAGTAGATCTTTTTGCTCCGTTGGATAGTTTCAAAATATGTTGCATTACAAAGATAATCGAACAAAAAAACACCTTCTGCATGGACTGGAAAGAACTAAATTCAAAATTGACTTTAGCTGATCATCCATAAGAATGATCAAATCTATGTGTAAGTTAATCTATGTTAATCTATGTAATTTTAAACTACAGAATTATGTAAATGGATTATTTGTAGCTTCAAGGAGTTGCAACATACAGACAAGCTTCATGACACATTCAGTGGTGTCTGCTTGCTGTTGCTAGGCAGCTGATCTTGTTTATAACCACCTTCTTATTTGAAATCTAGTATTTACATCTGCCCTGCCTTGCATAAGTTTGGATAAAGTCATGCAAGAAATGGTTACTTCCATATTTTGAAACCAGAAAGTTTTGTAATAAATTCAGTGTCAATATTTGTGCTGGGAGTTATCATTAGTTTATGAATTCAGTGTCTCTATTGAAATTTGGTTGATAAACACTAGAATCATATTTGATGAGGAAATGTTAACAGTAAGTGTAAAGTAGCTCATAACAACAAAAAGTACAGTATTAATAGTTATGTTTTTAAATATTTATAACATACCTATCTAATTCCCTAAGAGTTGCAATGTTGGCTTCAAAATAGTTTAATCCCAGCTAATTTACTTTTGTACCAAATTCAAATCGGATCATTTCGTTCAAGTTATCGTTATAACGGACACATTTATCTTTGAATTTGAACAGATAGTGTTTTTGGCCCCTCGGGACATCAAAACAGAAAAGTTAATTGATCCCAGGTCCAGTCTTACCGAGACTTGGGTATGGTAATAGCTTTATGCAATTCGCAAAAAGTTACTCTAAGTTTAATTTAAATTCTTAGAACTTCTTTGTACTCAACATTTGAAGTAGTAGATGCATTATTGTTAGGGCTGTGTTATATTTTAAATTTTAAACTAACAAAGGATTGTTCTCTTGACATTACCACATAATGGCCCTATAATAATATCTTCACAGTGGGCATTTTTTTTACACTGGATGGCCGACCGAGAAAGTAGCCTAAATCTGTTTGATCGAGTCTCAACGGGCGATCAGTACGGTATATACATAGTGTCGATTAAACCTTTTTCTGGATGTAGGTAGTAAAATTCTTTGGTAAGCTTATGGCGTTAGTATCAGTAAATTATGGATATTTTCCCTTCGCCGATTTCCAATAAGAACTTGCAGAAATCCTGCTCTTTTGGTCTTGCCCCTATGATTATAGTTGGATTAAGGACTTCAAACTCTCTTCGCAGTGGACTGATTTTTAACGAATGCTTGACTGTTGCGTGCCGCCCATGAGGCAAAACATAATTGGCGAAAATCGCCAAAGGGGACTATAATTTTTTCCACCGAAGGCCATATCAATTCGCAATATATCTTCAAGTAGCCTGTCACGCAGGAGAGGAATAGCGGCAAGCCATTGAAGCCTCATAACAGAATATCAATTTAGAGCTTCTTATTGTATCTGGCTCCTTGCTGTGTACTCCTTTTCAAATTCATCTAGGGTACTAATCTTTTCAATAGGCTAATCAATTGATATAGGTTTAGATTACATGTTTGCTGTCAATACGATCCTTGATGACAGTACGAAGACTACAGCTGTTTTCGTGCTTTTAAAGTAGCACATCTTCAGGGTGACAATGTCTTGCTAATAATCCCTTGTGTGGAGTTCATAAAAAATATAAATAAAACAGGAAATACAAAACAAATAAACACACAACAATACATTTAGTAGTATCACGTACGATATATTTTATCAAACACTTAATGGCAGTTTCTGCATTTAATAATCCAGAAACTAAACTGGTTTTTCTATCGTTTGGAAAGTTAAAGTTTAGTCATTTATTTAACAATGCCATTTCTGAAAATGGCCTGAAAATTGTTTGGTTGCTTTGTTAACAATTCTACGATGGAACTTATGGTTACATTTGATAGTTTCAATTTTTATATCCAACTTTTAACAGAAACCTGTTTGGGCTTTCTGGCAGCGGTAGATATTTTGGAGATTTTTAGGGAAACATATTTTGGCACAACTCCTTATTCTAAACATATTTTTATTAAAATTAATGTTTTCTTCTGTCTTAAAAACAGTTTTATCTTACATTCTTGTTTGAATAGCCCAGTTTTAACTGACATAGCTAACTTAAATTAAACTGAAACTTAATAAAGATTTTTAACTTTAACTTTCCAACCGATAGAAAAATCTGTTTGGCTTCTGAATTGTTCAATGCAGAATCTGCTGTTAAAGGTTTGAAAAACAATATCACACGTAATACCACTAAATGTATTGTCGTGTGCGTTGAATTTGTTATATATTGCCCGTTTTACTTATATTTTTCGACAAACTTCACATGAGGGCTTGTTAGCAAGACATTCTCGACCTGAAGATGTGCTACTTTAAAAGTACAAAAACAGCTGTAGTCGTCATACTTCCATCAAGGATTTTTTTGAAACTATATTAGCTCATTCAGACCATCCAGAGGCCATTCCATAATGAAATTTTCAATGTAAACTTGAAGGGTTTTAAAAATTAACAATGTAACTTAATGAAAAATTATCCAACAGGTGTGACCGGTTGTTCTGATGGCGCCGTACCACATGAGTCTCGGAGAGCAAGGAGACATGTCGCAAGACACTTCCACCAACGAACAGTTCTCTGATGAAGATGATGATTTCATTGACGAATTTCCGTCTTTGCCCCTCATACCAGTACCAGACATTCTACCATCTGAGAATTCTCTATCACAACTGCTTGTAAGTCCGTTAGCATCATTAGGAGAGATGATAGTGTAACAAATCATTTTGCCTTTTGAAAATATAGAAATAGATAACAATATCTCCGATATAAGTTATCAATATTGTCTTTTGAAGTCAAAATCTTCTATCCATAAAATAAAGATACTGAATTCAAATGTCTCATGTCTGCGCAACGGGATTAGTAAGCATGCTCTCTGCTGGAATTTTCATTAGGAAGGGCAAACAATAAATCAGTATCTTGTTCCAGGGATCAGACAAAAAATCCCCCTCCACAAAGAAGTAGATGTAAAACACCTTAAAACATTGGATGTATAAAAATTGAATAAGCTCTAAATAATGTTTTAAACTTATTTTATTAACATTATTTTAAATTTTTATACAAATTTAGTTTTTCTGCCTAGGAGACACTGATTCAAATCAAGTGGTAAACTGTGCTAAAACATTAATGCTAGTAATACTACTCTAGAGTTGACTCTTGGCTTGTAAACACAGTATAAAAATATATTCCATACAAAAGCCGTATAAAGTAAACATAAAAATCTAAGTTAAAAGTCATAATAATAATAATGCATGCCTCTGAGAACAATATGAAACTAATTCCTCCATTCAAACAATACACAACTTAACATCACTTCAATATTTGACAAGCTCGTTGTGCTTCAATGCTAAAGTATTTTGTCTTATAAGATTTACCTACGTAAGACCCTTCTCACTGTTGTATGTGCATCTGATGTGTATTTAATATAATAGTCTCTCTTATGCTCTTATAGACGAGTCGATTTAGCCCAAAAAAACCTCTAAGATAGAACAAATTCCAACAAATGGTTTTTCGACGGTTTTTGGTAGTAATAGGTGTAGAAAGTACTAGGAAAAAAGTCTACCAAAATCGGACAACCGGAAGTCGGGTTTTTCCAAGATGGCCGCCGTGAGGCCCTCAAATCGACAAGATGACTGCAAATTCGTCGATTCATAGTTCCAGGATTGGCCGATTTCCACGAAAATTGGCAAACACATGTAGAACTATATTTCCAACCTTAAATATGAAAACTAGGCAGACAAAGTAACCCAAAGATGAATTTTCAGGGTATTATGTGCTAAAAAATAAGATTTTTTACCTCAAATATATGTTTTTCTAATATTTTGTACAAAGTTTGTTATAATTTCAAATTTATTTTTTCACCATTAGATTCAACACAAAAACCTAACAATTTAGTATATTGAATCTTTGTTCTGCTTCAATTTGTTACAGAGATATTGAAAGTAATAACTTTAGTATGTTTTCTTGCCGAGATAACTCAATGTTAATCTTATGGAGAATAAGCATAAATATTAATATTATTTTTCATGAAACCTATATAGATAAGACTTTTTGTTCTGCTTCATATTATCTGTTTTAATATTTTTTTACTAAAAATTCCTTTTTTGGCAGTTACCATTGCAGCAAACCTACGTATTCGGTTCCTCAGTTTTAATCATAAAGAGAATAAGCAAAAATCAATTTCTTATTAGTCCGAGAAGTATAGAATATAACCTTAAAAACAATACAAGAAAACGTTTTATGGTTTTATGTTGTAGTTTTGGGTGTGCAGAGTCGGAATTTCCCAACATTGGACAAATTTTGAAAAAAAGATACCATAAGCATTTTCTATGCACAATTTTCTAAATATTGACTTGGGACCAACATCGATACATTTCGATTGGAAACATATTTTGGCCGCTATTTTAGATCCACCTTATTTGATATAATTTGTTGTTGTTGTAACGACAGTGTTGTGACATATTACTACTATATATACTAGATTTTCACGCATATTCCATTGCCGAAATCCGTTTTTAAATACATTTTTTTGTTTTGAACGTTTTGTACTTTGAAAATTTTTTAAGATTATTTTCCTTATCTTCAGTTAGTAGTTCATTCTTAAATAATTAATGATATAAGGGCTTTCATTTGAGCTATTGGTCATTAAAATTGGACGAGTTAGAGACAAGCTACCAATCCCAACAAAATATTAAATTTAACTTTTTATAAATCAGTTTTTATTAAATGATTTATATCTCGGGTTCTTAATACGTCACCAAGTTCTTTCTGGTCGCAAATTACTCAGTAGAGAATTAGGTTTTTTTATTTTATTAGTCACTAAATAATATCTAACTAATTAATAAAAAATGAGTCATGCTCCTTAATTTAATATTAAATTATTTGCATTTGAAATTTATCTTTAGTTAAGTACATATATCCCCAATTCTAATAACTCCCAATAAATAATCCATAATTACAGTAAAAGTCAATACTTTGATGAATCTTTTAAGATTATAAAGAGCATTGGGAGTTATTTTTCGATTTGGGGGTATATGTCTTAAACTAAAGACAAATCTCGAAAAAAAAAATATTTTTTAATAAGACAGACCCATATTAAATTTGTCACACTTTATTAAGTGATTAAAAAAATTAACCCAAACATTTACTGAGTAATATGAAACCAGAAAGAACTTGGTGGCGTATTAAGAACCCGAGATATAAATATTTTAGTAAAAATGTATTTCTAAAAAGTGAAATTTAATATTTTGTTGGAGTTGGTAACTAGTCTCTAACTCGTAAGATTTTAATGATCAATAGCTCAAATGAAAGCCCTTACATCACTAAATGTTTAAGGCTAGAACGAACTGCAAGCGTTAATATGTACTGGAGATATAAGAAAAAATAATCTTAAAAAATTTTCAAAATACGAAATGTCCTTAAGAAATGTATGCAAGAGAATTTTTGTTTGAATATATCTTTAAAACGAAAAAAAGATATTTAAAAACCCATTTTGGCAATGGAATGGGCGTGAAAATCTAGTTTAAAATAATGTGTCACAACATTGCCATTACATTAAAAAAATTATTTATATCCAATATGGCCGATCCAAGATGACGGCCAAAAACAAGTTCCCTATTGAAATGACACTGTCATTACATTAAAAAAAAATATTTATACCCAATAGGGGGATCCAAAATGACGGCCGAAAACACGTTCCCTATCGAAATGAAGAAATGACCACCCAATAAATATCGGTGGTGGTCTGAAGTCAATATCAATGAAAATGCATGTGGATTTTTTTAAATTTTTCCAATGTTGAGAAAATCCGTCATATTAAATCTTGATTCTAGGGGTTTTCCAGTAGACCGATTTTTGCCAATTTTTACTATGTTACTCTGCATACCCCACTACAACATAAAACCATAAAACGTTTTCTTGCATTTTTTTAAGGTAATATTCTATATTTCTCGGACTAATAAAAAAATTGATTTTTGCTTATTCTCTTTATGATTAAGACTAAGGAACCGAATACGTAGGTTTGCTGCAATGGTAACTGCCAAAAAAGGAATTTTTAGTAAAACAAATATTAAAACAGATAATATGAAGCAGAACAAAAAGTCTTATCTATATAGGTTTCATGAAAAATAATATTAATATTTCTGCTTATTCTCCATAAGATTAACATTGAGTTATCTCGGCAAGAAAACATACCAAGTTATTACTTTCAATATCTCTGTAACAAATTGAAGCAGAACAAAGATTCAATATACTAAATTGTTAGTTTTTTGTGTTGAATCTAATGGTGAAAAAATAAATTTGAAATTATAACAAACTTTGTACAAAATATTAGAAAAACATATATTTGAGGTAAAAAATCTTATTTTTTAGCACATAATACCCTGAAAATTCATCTTTGGGTTACTTTGTCTGCCTAGTTTTCATATTTAAGGTTGGAAATATAGTTCTACATGTGTTTGCCAATTTTCGTGGAAATCGGCCAATCCTGGAACTATGAATCGACGAATTTGCAGTCATCTTGTCGATTTGAGGGCCTCACGGCGGCCATCTTGGAAAAACCCGACTTCCGGTTGTCCGATTTTGGTAGACTTTTTTCCTGGTACTTTCTACACCTATTACTACCAAAAACCGTCGAAAAACCATTTGTTGGAATTTGTTCTATCTCATGTGACTATATTGACTCGACTATTAAGAATTATATTGTTTTATTAGCTTATTTTGTTGAAAATTAATTTTAATTAAGAGTATGCATAAAATATTGCTTATTTGAAGAATTTATTAAAAAATAAGCTGTCATTTAATTGTATGTGTTGTATAAATCTGTTTTTTATCTGCTAAAAAGTACATAGCATTAATTTATTTAAAAAATGTACTGTATTTTGATATGGATGCCGATGTAAATAAAGAAGTGACTTACATTATAATAAGTTATTAAAGATTTTAAGGTTTAATCTTGAACAATATTAGCAATATTCTGTAAGCTATATGTTTTAAAAATAAAAAAATTATAGTCAAGCTAATACTGAGTAAAACACCAAGTCAACACTGTACATCCCTAAAGACAAACAATCTTGAACAACCAGAGTATTTTCCCTCATAAAGAACATTTTTTAAAGATGTTTCACTGTATTCACATAAATAGAACGAAGACAACCCTGTAATTTGGTAAAGAGAAGATGCATAAAAAAACATAGCTTTATACAAATATTCATTGGTATAACTTGCGAGTCCCAGGTCTCACTTTAAATTAAAGTTTCCTAAAGATTTCACTCGCTTAGCTTAGTTCAAGAGGTGTTAGGTTAATGTCTAAATGAGACATAATACTGCTTAAGGGTGTTACTCAACGTGTAATGAACAAAATTTAAATTTAGAAAAACAAAAAATGTTACAAAGTGTTACAACAGCAAAAGAAAACTTTGAAAAGGGAAAGATCAACAATAGTAAGACAAATTAATTTACAACGTTAAATTTACAAGGAAAGAAAATCAATTGAAAATTTAAAAGAACTAGAGGACCCATCCTGCTCCGCAGCGTTAAACTAAAAATATAATATCCAAGAACTAATCAAATTTATGAGTTTTGATGAGTAATACAGTATCTTGATACTGATTCAAACGATCAATAGCTCAATTTAAAGCCTATAAATACTGATTATTTTGAGTCTAAAACATACATGAACAATACTGAAGCCATTGATTTTTAGTCATAGGAAACCCTTACAAAAAAATGTTTATGTTAGTTTTTCTCCTTGCGTTTGCTTGAAACTCGTCCGATTTGAATAACTAATACAGTAGCTTAAATGAATGCAGGTATTTCACTGAAGTTCCTTAGACCAAAATAACTGGTGAAACGCATCTTAAATTGAAGTAAGAACTTGAAAATGAATCAAATTATTTTTTTCGGTCAAATAATACAGTAGGTAAATATATGCCGATGCATTTACTTCGATGGCCGATGCTTGATGTGAAATCATTGCGTGTATGCCTTCAATTTAAGACCTGAATCATGAAAATCGGTCGGATAGAAGAGCCAAACGCACTCGGAAAAGAGAAACCAAATTTAACTCCCATAAGAAATACATCGGGAGAAAATTTTGTTGACGTATAAGCCGAGTGGGGTTAAAGATAAATATATGCCCATGCTTGATGGCAAATCTTTGTGTGCATGCCTTCAATTTGAGACCTCAATCATGAAAATCGGTCAGGTAGAAGAGCCAAACGAACTCGGCAAAGAGAAACCAAATTTAATTTCCATAAGAAATACATGGGGAGCAAATTTCGTTTACGTATACACCGAGTGGGATTATAGATACATTTATGCCGATGCTTGATGGCAAATCTGTACTTGCATACCTTCAATTCGAGACCTCAATCATGAAAATCGGATATAAACAAACTAAAATAAAAATGGGGTTATTGATCACTGGTCGTCGGTAAATCCCAAAATAATTACATTTTTTATTGTTTGGAATTCAGCAGCGCGCTTCAGGTACGTCCGATCTTAATAATCAAGGGCTCAAATGAAAGCTGGTATTTCACTGAAGGTTCTTAGACCAAAACATATAGGATTACATAATTATAACTGAGGAAATATATCTTCAATTGAAGTAACAATTTTAAAAAAAACCTAATTTATGTTTTTTGGTCAAGTAATACTGTAGATAAATGAATGCTGATGCTTGATGGCAAATCTACGCGTGCATACCTTTAATTTAAGACCAAAATTATGAAAATCGGTCGGGTAGAACAGCCGAACGGACTCGGAAAAGAAAAACCAAATTTATCTCCCATAAGAAATGTACAGGGAGCAAATTACGTTTGTGCATAACTCGAGTAATACGTCAGATAAATGAATGCCGATGCTTGATGGCAAATCTACGCGTGCATACCTTTAATTTAAGACCAAAATCATGAAACTCGGTCGGGTAGAAGAGGCAGACGGACTCGGAAAAGAAAAACCGATATTTTTTAATATATAGATGAGTTACTGACAAATTATATGACTTAAGTTATATATTTTATTCATTTTACATACTGTTTATTGTCCCAGAAGCACACCCACCGATACACGCACTCCGAAACTCTCAATCTTCTTAGTCCAGCGGCCCGTGGTGATCTCCCCGATGTTTTCCTTCAGGTCCTCCAGCTTTGAAACTCCTCAACCCTCCATCTTCTTCATTAGCCCTTCTCATTGGCTGATTACCAAAGAGATTAGGGTGTGTAGCTTATAGGTTAAAGATGTTTCTTGGAAGTCAGCCCTACCGGTCATCGCCTAGCTCACATCAACTGGGAAATGAATTTGTAAATCGATGCTCATGCTGCTGTTCAACTCTGTTCACACCAACTGGTTGACTAAGTGTAATATGAACAGAGTGTCTGCGTGGATGAGCACAGTGGGTACGAGGTTTAATCCCCTTTCTTACAAACTATCTAAAAAAAAAGAATCATCATTGAAAGCCGAGCTCTCAAGGATGGTTGAGCTCAACCTTGAAAATTGTTTGCAACTTTTCTCGGATTCATATAATCAACTTAACTTAACTAAAAGCACTCTGACTATACTGCTACTAAATAGGGATTTTAATTATATGAACGTGTTGTTTGTAATTTTTAACTGTTTGTTATGGTTTATAAATTAAAACAATTTACCTCACTGTTTCACAGGCACAAGCATGTGGTGGAGAAGATCTTCTTGAAGTAACGTCAGTGAAACTGAAAGTTATCGCAAGTCAAGTGAACTTGCTGCGGCTGCACATCTACCTTCCAAACTTGGTGGAGTTGGACCTGACTGGTAGTCACCTGCTTTCACTAAGGTCTTGATAGCAAAATACTTCAATAGTCTTTAGTTTTAGTCTTTATTTAAATGTATACATATATTGTACATGAATGGTGTTATCTGAACTAAAACCAAGGCTTAAACTAAGATGCAATCATCCAGATTTATCAAGTTAGTCTGCTATTTTGAAGGAATATATTTTAAGAAGATATTTCTAGCATTTACAGTCTTTTTTAACAGCTCTAATTTATGTTTTACAATTTTACAATATCACTATTTTTACTACACATGCATGTCACATTAAATAAAAGAAATGTGGGTCTACTATCAGTTTTGCAGCCCAAGGAAAATTTGAATCTATAGGCTCTATGTGTATAGGGTAAGGGCTTAGAATTCGATTAAATTAACTATAATGCTGACACACCAGGATGGCTAGCTACAAGGTCTCTAAAAAGAGGTTGCCTGAGATGTGTATGAAGTCATCTGCTCACCTGGACGGTGCTGCTTTTATTGCACACAGGTGCCACCTGTCAAACTTGTTATTGTTGTACGACCAATTAAGTAATTTTTTTAATTTACCTGCCCGGGTTAGCAAGTGACGTTCTATGCGAACGCCCGGATCTGAACTATTGAACGCCGCCAACCCTAGGGACGGCCCTATGGTGATTTCATACACGTGTCTTAGGTAACCTATTTTTAGCAGCATTGGCCTGTGTAAAGATAGTTGAAGAATAAGTGTGATTGAGATCAGCTAGTATTTAAAGCCAAGGCCATTAGTTAAAAACTCAATCCTCAAGGACAGCTGGTTCTTTTTGCAAAAAACCAAAAACTACTGAAATTGTTCATGGTTGATCCAACAAACTTCTGATTCCTAATCCATCAGGCCGCTGGGGTACGGGCTGGAGCACCTCTGTGTGTTGAGTGTGGGCCGCTGCTCACTCACCAGTCTAGATGGAGTGTTTGGAGTGTCAGGTCTACGAGAGTTGTACGCTCCCAACAACAGCATCTCAGAGCTGGGACTCCTGGCCACTCTACCTCAGCTGCGAGTGCTGGACATGCGCAGGTCAGTGACAGCTGATCACTAAGTGATTATGTAAAGGTTTGAAGTATAAACAGAAAAAAAAATAACAAAAACATTAGTTTTATACACTTTTTATTTTGCGTGATAATTCTGTTCAAAAATAATTAAATAGGCCTAGTGTATTTTCATGGTTTTTTTTATATGCATTGAAATAATAAAAAAAGCTGTTTTTTGTCTTGGTGGATAATTGAAAAAAAAAACTGGATTATAAATTGATGAATTAAATATAAATATAAGTCTCTAATATTTAATATAAGTCTCTAATATTTAATATAAGTCTCATAATCAATTTTTTAATTTTGAATCCTGGTTGTTTGCCACGTTTTGGGAAAAGGAGAGGAGGGCTTTGACGTTTTATGGCCTTGTATTTAGCTATGCAAAGAGGAAATTTTAATGTGTTTTTAGAGGAATAGGTATTTAAGGTAAAATTACTGGGGTGAAGTAGCCTCTCCCCAGTAAAGGTAGTCGCATTTCCATATGTTAATACTATGGCAATACCAATAGCCGCAGCGCCCGGGGCATCTTGCCACGATTGCCCTTCCTTTTAAAGAAATCCTTCAGATAGCCATCTATATGTACTATATTTCCTTAAAATTTATTTGTTATCTAATAATTGCAGCAACCCGGTTGCTAGTTTGCAACAAGTGGCATTCCTCTCCATGTGTGCGGCTCTGAGAGAGCTGACCCTAGCTGAGTGTCCAGTGGCTGATCTACCAGGATACAAGGCTTGTGTGGTCACCACTCTACCTGCCCTGGGTCTGCTGGATGGCAACCTGTTGGCTGATGGAGGTAGGTAGGCTTACTTCTCTTGTATAGCTCTGAAAGAGCTGACCCTAGCTGAGTGTCCAGTGGCTGATCTACCAGGATACAAGGCTTGTGTGGTAACCACTCTACCTGCCCTGGGTCTGCTGGATGGCATTGATGGCAACCTGTTGGCTGACGGAGGTAGGTAGGCTTACTTCTCTTGTATAGCTCTGAGAGAGCTGACCATAGCTGAGTGTCCAGTGGCTGATCTACCAGGATACAAGGCTTGTGTGGTAACCACTCTACCTGCCCTGGGTCTGCTGGATGGCAACCTGTTGGCTGACGGAGGTAGGTAGGCTTACTTCTCTTGTATAGCTCTGAGAGAGCTGACCATAGCTGAGTGTCCAGTGGTTGATCTACCAGGATACAAGGCTTGTGTCGTCACCACTCTACCTGCCCTGGGTCTGCTGGATGGCAACCTGTTGGCTGACGGAGGTAGGTAGGCTTACTTCTCTTGTATAGCTCTGAGAGAGCTGACCCTAGCTGAGTGTCCAGTGGCTGATCTACCAGGATACAAGGCTTGTGTCGTCACCACTCTACCTGTCCTGGGTCTGCTGGATGGCAACCTGTTGGCTGACGGAGGTAGGTAGGCTTACTTCTCTTGTATAGCTCTGAGAGAGCTGACCATAGCTGAGTGTCCAGTGGCTGATCTACCAGGATACAAGGCTTGTGTCGTCACCACTCTACCTGTCCTGGGTCTGCTGGATGGCAACCTGTTGGCTGACGGAGGTAGGTAGGCTTACTTCTCTTGTATAGCTCTGAGAGAGCTGACCATAGCTGAGTGTCCAGTGGTTGATCTACCAGGATACAAGGCTTGTGTGGTAACCACTCTACCTGCCCTGGGTCTGCTGGATGGCAACCTGTTGGCTGACGGAGGTAGGTAGGCTTACTTCTCTTGTATAGCTCTGAGAGAGCTGACCATAGCTGAGTGTCCAGTGGTTGATCTACCAGGATACAAGGCTTGTGTGGTAACCACTCTACCTGCCCTGGGTCTGCTGGATGGCATTGATGGCAACCTGTTGGCTGACGGAGGTAGGTAGGCTTACTTCTCTTGTATAGCTCTGAGAGAGCTGACCATAGCTGAGTGTCCAGTGGTTGATCTACCAGGATACAAGGCTTGTGTGGTCACCACTCTACCTGCCCTGGGTCTGCTGGATGGCAACCTGTTGGCTGACGGAGGTAGGTAGGCTTACTTCTCTTGTATAAACACCTTAACTTTTGGCATCTCTGAGAGAGCTGACCATAGCTGAGTGTCCAGTGGTTGATCTACCAGGATACAAGGCTTGTGTGGTAACCACTCTACCTGCCCTGGGTCTGCTGGATGGCAACCTGTTGGCTGATGGAGGTAGGCATTTCTCTTGTGTAGCTTTGAAGGAACCCATTCTAGGTAAAAATAGCTCTGTTGCACTGTATTGTTTTATCACCTTTTGTTATGCTTCAGCAAACCTTTTGGGGAGGTAGAGGGATAAGAACAACCAATCTTTGAGAGTGGAAAGATGTCTTAGCTCCTTATGGATTTTAGTCTGTGCTTTACAGTGAATCACTACTACTAAATTACTTACTAGTAATTGTGCATCATATAATAAAATCCAAGGCAATATGTAGAAACCTTGTAAAAAAACTTGTACAACCACAGTAAGAATAACACTTTTGAAATCAAAGGACTAAGTACTGTATAGATCTTTTTAAATCATGTCAATATGAGTAGAGGGCAGAATGTGTTTGCACACAAGAACCCATTTCTTGCCATCATTGCCTTTGTTATTTTGCCAGTCATCTCCAAAATTGATTGGATTAATTTAATACCACTAACTTAGCATTTATGGGTAACTACCTATCAGTTTTGTTGGGAGCCTTTCCTTCATTACTCCTTACACAACATCTTAATTGACATGATCTTTACCTTGAGGAACACCACTTTGGGAACCTGTTTTCAGATGAACATACTACTGCCATAGCAATAAAACAGCATCCAACCTTGAACACACTTTGCTACATATCTGGATATAAGTTACTCTTTTAAAGTCTTAAAATTATTTAGCAAAATTACAAAGCCAAAATGAATCCTTGCGCATGCTATAAGCTCCATATTCTTTCTTTTCATGACACTTTATACTTGCAGGCTTCGACATTTGTCATACAAGTCAAACAGACTCCCCTGACCTCTCTGATGATGATAATGATGGATGCCAAACTTTGAAAGTTGAAGAATTGAAGATCATTGGTAAGAAGACACTGCTTGAGCCTTGATTTTAGAATAAACTTTCATATTGAATCATCTGATTTTATTCCCTAAGAAAAGCTATTGTTATACCATTTAATAGTCAAAGGTTATACATTCAGGCTTTTTTTAGGATAGCAGGCATACCTGAATGGGAAAGAGTTCAAACTTCACAGGATACACAAAACTTAACTCTATGTACACAAAACATTAGAATACTTTACTGCCACTGACAGCATTTTCAACTAAGGAAGAAGAGTTAGAGTAGGAAGAGTCCATATTTGACCTAAAGAAAACTATATAGTGTAAAGTGTTGTGTCTCTTGTGCCAGTTTGGACTCTTTCCCATTCATGTGAGCCTGCTATCCTCCCAAAAAAATCATAAAAACCTAGGCGCTTATGCTCTATGTTACATCCTTATTGTTAAATTCAGTTTATTTTCAATGTATATATTTTATTTGCATGGAATCGAAGAATGTTGACATAAACCATAGCCTCCTATAATAGGCCTGTAAGGCCGGGACGAGAAAAAAGTGACAACACCGCTGTTCTGTCAAATCGAAACAGCTGTAGTTCTAATTTATAATGGACAGTATAGAAAATGTATACGTTTACACTTTTGTTATTTCTTATTACCATAGCAATAGGCATGACGTTGCGACGTGTCACACACCAACGCTGCAGCCTTGTATTAGAGGAGGCTATGCACAAACCCATATTTTCTTAAGTGCTTAACATTTAACCCCAAAGCATGATAGCTATGTATTGGACACAATACGAGTGGTGGGGGTGGGAATGGCAAGGCCACTCTGTTTTTTTCCATATTGGTAAGTAACCCGTATTTCCCACAACAATGGTGAGCGCTCCTGCACTGGGAAATTTATGACTATTCACTGATGTGTACCTATGTGGCAAAGTTTTGTGTGAAATGTATGTATCAGTAAACATTGGTTTGTTCGGCTAGAAGTTGATAAGAAAGGCGGATTTCTTATGAGTTGCACTAGTTTCCTGTAACTTGATTGTTCTGTGCAGATGACAATGTGCCTGAGTTGAAGGATGTGACCCCAGTAAGGCCAGTGAGGCCCCGCCCAGCCACTGTGAGTGGGGCCCGACCCTCACGTGGGGGCTACCTACTGCCTGACAGACCCGCCACGGCTGCATCTAAGAAACTCTCCGACAGCCAACTAGTCATCAACGAAGGTTGAGAGTCCTCAGATACATAAATAGCCAATAGATATCTGAGAAAATAAATGTTTTGGTTTATTGCTTCCGATAAGATTTCAGAAACACTGAATTGTTTTTTAACATTGATTTTTTTCATGATTTCCTTAATGATATAAGAAACGCCCTATCCTATATGGAATCTGTTTATGGATAGGGATTAGTAAATAATTTAAATATTCTCAAAATAAGGACAATTTACTTATTTGTTACATAACAACAACTTACTTTAATGTTTTATTGTCGCAAGTCAGCAGTGTTCGATTTGTAAAAAATGAGGTGCCGGAACTGTAACCTATTCAATGTGATTTGTACCTATTTATGCCAATATTTTTATCTTTACGAAAGAGAGGTACCGGAACTCCGTTCCACCACGTTCCCCCGCAAATCGAGTAATGGTAAGTTCAATATACAACATTCTATATTTCAGATCCTGAAATAGTTACACATGATGCAGTGAGCAAACTGACATCAGGAGGGATTGTCTGTGGGAACCTGGCAGCGGCTCTGAGGAGCAAACACCGCCAACGGAAACCGGCTTGGACAAACAAGGTGTAGTATAACTAATTAATTTACATGGATCTTAACACCTTGTTCATATGAGGACTTTATATGCCACGTTGAGCGTATGTTAGCAAAATTTGAATCCGCACACATGACAACAGTAGAAGCGGTGTTAGTTGAGCCATTCACTACACCAGTGCATCTTTGGAGCTAGAAGCACGCTGCAAAAGTAGCGCTTGAAGTGAAAACTACAAGCGCCGTGTTTTGGAAAAAGTTGGTTCAAAGTGCTCGTTTGCATGTGAACGATCCCATTTGTTCCTAGGTAGGCGTACTTGGCTAACAGGCGTTTGACAAACCAGCGTCTAACGCCCTCATGTGAACAAGCTGTAAGATTAACTAAAAAATATTAGTAACAGTAACAGTAGTAAAAAATACAGTAGTTGCATTACCTATCCTCCGAATGGTTGAGGACACAGAATAGATTAAAACTGTTTAATGCATACTATAAATCTATCTTAGAAAACAGCTACAAAACCACAGTTGATTTTAGAAACAAAATTTGTTTTTACAGCTTAGTTGTTTAGAATTTATCTTTGGACTTCCTCAGTCAACTGTAGCAAAATAAAATTATAGAAATTAATTTATCAAAATGTAAACAGTGTACATAAAAACAGAAAATGTAAATATTGTGGTTTTTCTATTTATTGCCATTGGAACTGATTAATATTTACTTCCAAAAGCCGAAGAGGGGGAGGGGGCGGGTGTTTTTTAAGGACATGAATGGGAATTTCAGCTTTGTAGGTTCAGTATTTTCTACCTTCGTTCTGAATAACCAGGTACCTACACAAAAAACAAACAGAAACTCCCGTAGTTTAAATATTATAGATGGTTCAGTATTTGATCATATTTTAAATTACAAATGTATAAAGACAACCATCTGTACTCATACTATAATAATAATCCAAACATTCCATTTGTGACTAGACTAAACTAGGCATCATTTTTTTATCTCTCTTGATAATTTCACATACTAACCATTTTTAATAAAACTGCAAGAAAATTACCTCCTGCTTGTTGAACATATTAATAAAATAACTGTGTCATTACTTACTATCCTGTAGCCACACAAATCCCAAGTGATTTTTGGCCTCGCCAACAATGCGCCTCCACTGCTGCCTGTCCTCTGCTGCCTGTCCTCTGCTGCCTCCAAACTTGCTCCTAACCTCCTGAGGTCCTGCCTCACTTGGTCATTCAATCTTAATCTGAGCCGACTTTTTGTTGTCAAGCTTTCTTGATGAAATATTACAACTATTTTATTTAAAATATAAATATTTCAATAACAAACATGAAAATGATAAATGGATTGTACCGTACCATTGAGTTCAGCATAAAAAAGTATTTCAAAATGATGGGTCACAACACCACCTTCATATTTAAAAAAATTACCTTATTTCAAAATGGCGGATCCAAGATGGCGGCCGAAAAAAATACATCCCTCATGACCAAATGAAATAGGTTGACAATGACTGGTGGTGTATAATTAGGTCTTAGTTTGTAAATGCACAATGTTAATATGTGCAAAAAGTTCTCATAACTTTAGAATGGATCATGATTTTTTCAAACGGATTGCAGCATCCTGTTCAGCATAAAAATATAGTTTGAAACGATGGGTCAGAACCCAACCTTTACATTTAAAAAAATCTTTGTATCCAATATGGTGGATCCAAGATGGCGGCCAAAATGTATACCAAGTCAAAATGAAGTACTCACTACTCCACAATGATCTTACGTTGTCCGGAGTTGATATCTTAAGAAATTTAGAAAAAAGTAGGGGGAACTAATTTAAAACTCACCCTGTGTATGTTTATTACATTATTGATGATAAGTTCTCAAAATCTCTATCAGGATGCAGAACAAGAGAAGCTGCATGGCAAGAACGGGTTGACAGTCACCAAGCTGTACTCTGATGTTGAGCGTATAGAGGCGGCCAAGCTCGGCGGAGGCGATGTCCCGTCACTGAGTCAACCTCTCCTAGATGCTAGCCGGAGATGGCGCGAGGCATATCACAGCTTCCGCACAGAACATAGGTACAGACTGGCCATAGATTATAAGTGTTTGTGGTTTTACATTTTTTGATTTTTTACACTTTTGTCTATTAACATGTCAGGAACTGCAAGAAAACCACACAATAACCCTCTGAATAATCGGACCAAATAAGCTAAATAAAGCCTTGGGACATTTACAACATTTTTTGCCAATGTGTTGAAAATATCTTCAATCAATCTTTGTCAGTAACAAAGTTATATTGATCATTACTATCCATTCTACACTCATCCTTCAATCATATCCGGGTTAAAATACTCACATATAGGTAGCGTCCCCATCTCAATATGATTGATAATTGCATTTGTTTAATTTGCTTATTGAATTAAATATTTTTGCTGTAGGGCAGAATGAGTGTGCATAAGGGTCTAAATGCACTATTTTCCTATTTATAGAAGGTCTGTTATCAAATCATATTAAATAAGGGAAATTCAAGGGTTTCCCAAACTAAACATGATTTGGATCGATCTATATAAAAACAATGCTGTAGCAAAATGGATTATAGTTTTTGAGCTTTATTGAAATGAGATGAAATGCTATATGCAACTTTTAAAAACCAATTTAATGAGAGTTTTAAGCAAATTTCCCATATAGGGAATAAGCTATTACCGCAGGTCTCATAGTAAGACCTGGACCCAGGACCGATTTACTTTTTCGTTTTGAGGTCCCCAGAGGCCAAAAACACCATCCGTTCAAATTCATATATAAAAAGGGGGTACTTAGTTTTAGCGAATTTCCCATAGGAAATGAGCTATTACCAAATCAAATCATTTATTCAGCCAAAATTAACAATATATATATACCTTAGTACTCATGGTAAGACCTGGACCCGGGACCGATTTACTTTTTCGGTTTGAGGTCCTCAGAGGCCAAAAACACCCTCCGTTCAAATTCATATATATAAATATATTTTTTTATATATGTGTCCGTTAGCACAATAACTTGAGTAAAAATGATCCGATTTTTATTAAATTTGGTATAAACAAGTAAACTTAGGTTTATTCGAACAAGTTTTGCAAACCAGCACAATCGGACTATGGGATAGGGGGCTTATGGGGGGATTTATAGGGTAAAAATTGGTTTTTTCCCATTTTTGACTCTAAAAACATAAAATTTCACAATTTTATTCCAGACCATTTTGTAGAGCTTAAAAATAAATAATTTTGTATATTGAAGTGTTGTTTTGCCTAACGGTTAGGGAGATTATTAAAAGAACTTTAAATTTAAAATTCCCATGTTATTCTTATGGAGAATAAATAAACTGTTGTAGTTTGCTTGTTTATGGATATATTTTAATCAAATTTGGCAATTTTGTTTATTTTATACTAAGCTATCAACATTTCAATAAAAAACACACCATAATACCTTCCCTGTAGCAGAAAACCTAGGTACTCATTAAAATTAATGTTATTTAAATAGGAAATAAATCCGACAACTTTCAGGGTATATTTTAGTAGACATCCACCCACGTAAATGGAAATTTGCTTAGTCTGCAGGTTTGCTGCAACGGGGGTATTTAATAATGCATTGGTATTTCAAAATAGTAGCCCTAATCACTACAATTTTCATAATATATATATATATATATATATATATATATATATATATATATATAATATATATATATATATATACTAGTGGACCCGTCACTTGAATTCGAGCAATTGCAAAGTATTACAGGCGTTATTTCAAAACTAATAACAATGATAATTTCCAACTCAAAGATAATGGTTAATCAATCACTCCACTATTGTTATCGAAATTGAAAACTAACTCACTCTGAAAACAAAACGCACTTGTTTGTATCATGATGTTTACTATGAACAGCTGTAATTAATACAAATTAATTGTATGTTTAAGTAAACAAAATCTTTTCATCATAATAAATACATTGGGATTTTGATGGCCTGTGCCCTGTGGGGCAAAGCCCGAGGACTTTTTGTTTAACCTCTATGGTTATTTAATTGATATTTAACCATATGTTTTTTTTTATTTACGGTACTTTCTTTAATACTATTGTATTGTATTAGTGTCTTGATTAAAAATAGTTTAGTTTCTTTTGACCTTTTAATTTTTATCTAAATAAGAAATAGAACATGGCGCAGTCGAATGAAGAACCCGTATCCCTGAACATTAAGCCTCCTGAAGCCTTTTCCTTCAACCCTCACGACTGGAAGACATGGAAGACTCGTTTTGAGAGGTATTATTCCCTTAGCAATTTAGCTCTACATTCTGGAAAGCATCAGATTGACATGCTTATCTACTGTAAGGGAGAGGACATACTTAATTCATTCAGGTTAAATGACAATGACAAATCTAATTTCAAAGCTGTTTTACAGAAGTTTGACGATAATTTCCTTCCTAAAAAGAACTTAATTTTTGAACGGTCTAGGTTTCTAAAACTTAAACAAGGTTCCATGCCAATTGAGAACTTTATCACAGACCTTCACAATCATGTAAAAAACTGTGATTGGGGTCAAATTGAAGAGGAGATGATTCTGATGGTTTTGATTATTGGTATGCGGGACGAAACACTAAGTGATCGTCTTCAACTTGAACCCGAATTAAAACTAAACAAAGCTATAAACACTATCCGTAGATCTGAAGAACTATCAAGACAAAAACAAACGCTACACTTGACTGACATAGCATTAATAAATAAAAACACTCAACATTTAATTAAGACAAACATTTTTCCTAATATATCAAACAATGATCAATATTTTAAGCGGATTAACGACAATAAAAGCCTGTCCAATGTTGAAAAGAGATGTCTTTGGTGTGGTTCGTCAGTTTTACACAAAAGATTAAACTGTCCAGCTAAACAATACAAATGTGGGCTTTGAAAAAAAGTTGGTAATTTTCCAAATGTTTGCAAATCAAACAAAGTCAGTCAAACTGAATATGATGATACTGACCTTGAAACACCCAATGAAATCTTTATAGACCCTCAAACATTCATTGGCACTGTTGGAAAAAACTTGCGTGATGATCCATGGTCTGTAGTGTTAAATATGAACGACAGTGATGATGTCCTTTTCAAAATTGATTCAAAATTCAGGAGCAGACGTAACAATTTTGCCTCCCAACATTAAATTGAATAAAAAAATCAGGCTCAATCCCACATCCAAAATATTTAGTGGCGCAAATGGTCAAGCTCTGTCAATTTTGGGAACTGCTACTGTAAAACTATCACATAATCACAAAACATGTTATGAGAAATATATTTCTAAGGGCACTTCCCAGCCACTTCTAGGTAAACCTGCGATAAAAAGTTTGCAGTTACTTGCTCGAATCAACAAAATACAGCCATCCAGTAATGACTGGTATGACAGACACCCCAAACCGTTAAGGCTTAGGTTCCATTGATGTCAAATACAAAGTAGAACTGAAAAATAACGTCAATCCATTTGCAATCAACGCGCCTCGTCGGATTCCTCTACCTCTTTGGGAATCTACTAAAGAAGAGCTTGAAAGAATGGTGTCAATGGGGGTGATAGCTGAGGTATACCATGCCACAGACTGGTGATCTCCAATGGTTGTTGTGCCAAAGAAGGACTCTAACAAAGTTCGCATTTGTGTGGATCTTACTAAATTAAACAGATGCGTCAAACGAAGATACTATCCTATTCAACCCATCGTCATCGACATAACACTTGCCCAAATCTCAGAAGCAAAATGCTATTCTAAATTGGATGCTAATAACGGATTCTGGCAGATCACATTGGACGAAGAATCCCAAGATTTGACAACGTTCCTGACACCGTTTGGACACTTCTGAAACTACCCTTTGGAATAACATCTGCACCAGAAGTGTTCCAAGAATGTGTGAATCCAACCCTTGAAGGTCAAATGAATGCACTTGCTCATATGGACGACATAATTGTTTGGGGGAAACTCAACAAGAACATGACTATTTCTTAGAAGAAGTACTAACCAAACTTGAAGGTGCTGGCTTCACCCTAAACAAAGACAAATGCTTGTTCTCTCAAACCTCGCTAACCTACTTAGGTCACCATTATCTGAATCAGGAATCAAAGTCGATGAGACCAAAGTCGAAGCTATACGAAAAATGTCTCCTCCAACAGATATTTTAGGTGTTCAAAGGTTACTTGGTATGGTGAACTTCATTGGCAAATACATACCTAACAAAAGCCGGTCACTAAAACCCATTACCGACCTACTAAGTAGAAAAAACAAATGGTGTTGGGGTTGTGAACAACAAAAAGCATTCGATGAACTGAAAGAATTATTGGCTTCTCCACCTCAACTTGCATTCTATGATAAAAATAAACCGACTATGATTTCTGCTGACTCTTCTACACAAGGCCTGGGTGGAGTACTTTTACAACAACAATCAGATGGGAATTGGAAACCTATTTCTTATACTTCACGCACTCTGAGCGAAACCGAACGAAACTACTCTAACATTGAACGAGAAACCCCTTGATCCCGTTAAAAGGTGGGTTAAAAACTATTTTTAATGTTAAAGATCACGGAACCATTGTTAACAATCACTACCATAAACAGAATATTTCCATTTATTTTGATTTTAAAGATACCGATTTGTTTCCATACGCATACAGTACTTAATCTACACCCTATACCGGTATATACTGTAGACTAGATGATTTTTTTGAACAAAAACTAAAAAACTATCCCCAATTAATTGATATAATTATTGCAGTATAAAACTTTCTAGATAGTTATGTTTAAACAATTCGAACATGATACGTCTAAAATATCACTTGGGATGAATCGAGATTTTCTACGAAATTCATGACGGATAAAACTGAGTTTTACCAAACCGAAAGGTGGATTGGTGATTTGGTCGCGTGGCCGTAGAGAGTGGATACACCGCTGCCCGCTGGAGAAGACTGAAGAAAATTGTTAAACCGGCAGTAACCGTTAATTAATTATAAGCCAATTATCGGTCTCAGGTAAGAGACACAACTCTCGGCTTTTCAAAGAAAGTGTCGTATGGTGAAACAGTTACACCAAGACCAAGTGCTGTACCCAGTGGGTTAACGTTACCAGGCTAGTCTTAAACGAGTTACCCATAAAGCCGGACGCACACAGATCAAGCATTTCACCTAAAGCAAGTGTTGCGAGGCAAAATGTTTCGCTGGGTACGAGCTCCCCATGTATTTCAATGGGACGCCGCACACTGATCAAGCAAACGTTGCGAGGCGCCTCGCAACGTCTTTAAACATTTGAGCAGTTGCTCGACGAATGGATCCCATACAGCACGATGTTTGATGTTTCAAGGAGCAAAACGTTCTGCACATGCGCCAAATCCCTTCTAGCTAGTAAAGCTTAGTGGCTTTCAAAATTCAATTGACCGTTTGTTGTTTAAAAAATAACTCGTCTTTGAAAAATGAATTTTGAAGTTGCGTTAAAACTTAACAATTATATTTTGAATTTCTATTGAACAATATTGTTTTTAATTTTTCTTGCTACCATTTTGGTAGTCATACAGTCCATGCAAAGTATTAAAATAATTAAGAAATTACCAAGGTTACTCGCAGTTCATTTAATAACACACACACTAACATTGACACTATCTAATAATGATTTCTTACGGTATTTAAAACCCTTCCTATAAAATAGTATAGCAATTATTCGACAATGATTGTAAAATCTCCCTGGATCTGATTTAATTTCTGAGAGGAAAGCCTTATCAACAGATTGATTGGGTGAACCCAATGTGTCTTTCTATTTAGTCCAGCATTTTGCAAAAAATGACATACAGCAATAGTTGACTTCCTCGTCACATAATGTTAAAACAATACTATAAGACCAGTAGACATTATATGTAATTCTAATATTTATTTTTCTTAATTTTGCTTGAAACCAAATGCTGAATCATGCTTGAACCTCCCGCACACTGGAGAAGCAAATAAACAAAACGCTTCAAGCAAATCGTTGTGCAACATTTTGCTTCAGGTGAAATGCTGATCAGTGTGCGCCCAGCCTTAATCCCTCGGAGAGTCAACGAATACAATGGTTTATACTTAACCACCACGGCTTCAATTCAAAAATGGTGTGTTATTTTAAATGTAGATATAGCTTATTATCTGTTTCAGCTAGGGCCAATTTAATTTTTAGAATTTTTAAACAGATTATTTTTAAATAACCAAACGACGATGAATTAAGTATATCGATTTCAATTACACCTAGCGGTGACTAGACAAACTGCATGGAACATTGCTTGTAGTAGTGACATCTAGCGTTTTGACGAGCCGAAAAGTTGCAAACGTCGACGGTAGCAGCATCTAGCGGTAAATAGGCAAACTGTTAGAAATCCACCTCGACAGTAGCTACACCTACCAGTTATTAGCGGAACTGTTCTATTTTGCTTGGTTATGGATATACAGTACTTTAATAACATTTGTCAGTTTATTAAATTTCACACACTGACCTTTTTACTAAAAAATAGTAGTTTACGCAACAATCGCGTAAAGATAGTGTTAACGACCCGGACCGGGGTAGAAAATACCAAGAAGGTACTAACTAGCCTTGGCGAGTGTCTTAAAAGTTTTTACGAGTGTTTTACGTGCGTACACTACTTAACTTACGACAGTGTTTTAATTACTAACAATCACTACTCATAACATGAAAGGTTATGCTTTGGTTTATAACCTCTCATCATAGACAAAAAGATTTAATATTTTTGTCTATGCTCTCATAGCCACTGATTTGTACCATACACAGAATAGATTTCCCATGTAATGTTAAAATTTGAAGCCAAGAAAATATATGAAGTTTAGGACCATTTCACTAGAGGGTAGGCTACTAGTGTATTGTGTCAAATATATTAATTAAAATCAATGCAGTATCATAGCAAACAGCTGATCGATTTATAACTTAACAACACTAGTTATTTGTGCAACTAGTGAGCAAAGTGAGCAATTGACTCACTCGAGAGAAATACTCGGAATGGTTTCTCGAGTGAGGCAATTGCACTTTGCACTCGACTTGCACATTATATTTTTCCTACAGATACCATAAAACAAATAAATTGGTAAAGAAACGTAACATATTTTTACACAGAAATGAACTTTTAATATGGCATTTAATGATACAACAGTACAACAGCTGACCAGCTGATTAACAGCCAGTGCTGCCAACGTATTTAGCGCGCATACGACCTTGTCTGCATGTTACGTGCTCACTAATTCGTGATTTCACGTTGCAAATCTGGAGCGAGACAAAGTAATTAGAGTGGAGTGAGACAATGTTGACATTGTCTCACTGGTGAGCGAATTGGCCACTTTGCTTTCTCAAATCAGTGAGAGACACAACATGTAAATTGTTAAGTAACTGTAGGAAAAGAATATTGTCATTAGTTCGTTGGTGACCATCGCAACACGTTCTTTTTTGCTACAAAATTACTTGGGAAATCTATTCTGTGTATAGTCACATGCAGAAGGATTATATCCCTCAAAGCTTTAAAATATCAATATATTTCAGGGAAAAGTGGGAGCAAGAAGAAATAGAAGAGAGTGAAAAATAATTCGATAATCTACTTTATTTTACTCACTAAGTCACCTAGTAAATGGTGCCTAACAACAATCGCAAGAAGTCACCTCAGCTATGGTACTGGAATTGTTATTCTCTTTTAACAATTATTATTGCTTGGACATTAACACTGTTCATTTGTTTTGTCAGAAGTAAATATATTTTGTAAAATATACATTGGCAGTTTTTTCTCCAAATTTATGTTATGTTTACAGATTCAATAACCTTTATTAACAATTAATGAAATAAGCTTATGTGTACTTAGATAATCGATAATCCTGTATCTACTCTATATTTTAGTATGAGAAAAATATTTTTTCAGCACAATATGATGTTTTCTGCTGTATTGTTTTATTGTCACCGCTGCCTAGCAACTATTTATTATTATTTTTCCCGATTACTCAAATTATTTCTTCTCATAACCTTAAAGTTGTAGTTGTGTTGACTATCAGTGTGCATTATTATTGTGGTGAATAGTGTGGTGAAATATAGCGTTCGTACCACGGACAAGAAACCTCATTTTCGGCCCTAGGTACGTATACTATTACCAGAGGACCACCATTTAAAAAATAATAAAATAGGACAGCTTAGAGAAAAAAAACAGAAGTAATAAACAGTGATAATGATAATTTTGTGTGAAACTTAATTAATTAAACATTAAAAACCTCTAACTAAATTTCTATACAAAACTATGTCATAACTTTAAGAATCAAAACCAAAATGAAACACTCCCAAACTTAACTACTACATACAACATGAATCATCGACTATTCAACACAAAGTAAGACCAAGGGAGTATGTTTTATCTATGCTTGTATACTCTGAGTTTCAAATCTACATAGAACCTCAATATCGAGAAATAAATGCATTAGTAAATAAAATTTTAATCAATTTCACGTTTTAAAATACGAATTATATTACTCCAGATCTGTTGCAATTTACGAGTTCTAGCTCCTTCAATTAAGGCAACGCAGTTCATGTACAAATGTGTACTGCAGATCTTGCCTCCATATAAGATCAGGCGTTAGTCGTTGACAGGGAAATATGGGGCATGTTTTGAAGTTGTAATTGACTACTTTGACTATGATGACTTTTCAGTCAATTCTATGCATAACCATTTTTTACAGATGTAGGCTATGGTTTTTTAAATAATACTGATGAAATAACCTTTAATATTTATGATTAATAGGTAAATAAGTCACAAAGTTTGTTAAATTTTCATGATGCCGGTACTCATCTTAAGGATTATTTCATGCATGTAATTACCTTTACTTTTTTAAATAAAATAAACCCGACACATTTCCCAGCAAAGGAATTCAATTAACATACATATTAATTAATTACATTATTTATAATAACAAAGACTTGCAGGCGCTCAGAGCGCTAGAGGTTAACTCAGTTAATTAAAATAAATAAATACTGACTTTTTAAGACTGTGGAAAAATTTTACAAAATTTTTTGGGTAGCCTACATAAAAAGTGTATGAAAGAACTGTGAATGAACTGTGTATGAAACCATTGACTAAAAATATAGTCAATGATGAAACGTAGAGTAAATATTACCATTGACTTAATAGTCAAAGATATTACTTAGCTCTTATTTAAGAGTTTTTTTATCAGAAAAAAGTATAATTGGATACTGAAGTGATTGACCTTGAAACTCAACATGGAAGTGGAACTTTCCCCATATACCAACTAACAGTCTCGTAAAATTATGTTATTGGAGATATTTTTTAGTGTATTAAGAATTCGATAATGAAGTTTGGGGCTATACGCTTGGAGATAACAGTATCTAGCTAGATCCATCAACCTATACTCAACTGTATTTTAAACAAGATTTAAAAAATGTACCAAGAAGCAAGTGATCAATAGATATTGAAAATTATTTAAACTTGATTCAACAACATGTTTTGAGATAAGATAAATATTTTATTCCTGTAATTGTTTGAGGAAGCCATGAAAATTAACTACGATAGCTGTGTATGGACTCGCCAAACATGTTTTTATATTTTTTATCACTTCACAAGTAATACCGAATGTAATTACAAGCAAAACTAAAATAGTACAATATATTAGCATATACAATGTCTGTATTATCAAATCAGGCAGTTTATTACTTCAAGAAATGTACAAACAAACTTTAGCCCAAATTACCTCATATCTTTCTGTTATCAACTGTTAAGTTTTAATCTTAATATTTCTTCTTGTCTAACAGCTATTGTTTTGTTTATTGATAAGTTAATAGTTAAAATTAAAGATCGGTATAAAATATCACGTAGAATTAGGCTTTAGAGTGTCATTAATCAAACTTAGGCCCTAATCGATTCCAATCAAAGAATTCGTACGTAGGCCTATATTAGCAATGATTATTTTATTTTCAAAGCTGAATTGAATTGAGATGGTTTGTTTTAAAGAAAGGTCCCGTATTGAATCAACGAACAGCCAGGGACGATTGTTTAGCACGGAGACTGAAAGTCTGCTACTAATCACGGAAGTGTCAGACGCCGCGCCGCTGTGTTTTGTTTTGACATTCGCCGCGCGGCGGTGGTGGGATCGGAAGGGGGAGGTGGAGGGGGCGATCGTTACCAGAACAGCTGTTCACTCAGTTGCAGTTCGCTTCAGTCTAGCTCCGCGTCCGTCGTCTGACGCTGTGATTGTTTATCCGTTCCACACGTGACAGGATAAATATAGCACATCGAAAGACTTCATTTATGCGGTTTCTCGGGACAAATCGAATTACCGCCTACACTTACAAAAGCGGTCAGTCGTATACTCCCAGATTCCAGTCCGTAGATGACCGTAGACGCTTGAGGGTCGCCTGTAGACCTGGAGGTGACAGGGCCCGTTCTCGCTAGAGTGTTCCCCATGTGTATACCTAGTAGTTGTATTTATGTGTTTTATCTCCTGTGAATATGTCAGTTCGCGTAGTGCTTGTATTTTTATGTTTGTCCTCTGCGACGTATTCCATGTCCTCCGGTGACTGGGCACCCAGTGCAGGAGTGTCTTCGTCCTTCCATCACCACGACGAAGGGGATGCCTACTACACCACAGCCTACCTCAACATCACCTTCGTCGATCCCGTCACGGGCAGGACCGTCCGGGAGAAGACGGAGATCGGTAAATTCGGTGAGTCCTATATCGGAGTGTCCTCCGGAGTCCTAGTCCACGTCCGGTCCGGAGCGGACAACTCCGGATGTACCCTCCCGTTCCGGAGCACCGCCGGCTCCGGTCAGCTTCCCAAGGAGTCCTGGATCGCGCTCGTGAAAAGAGGTGGCTGCAACTTCCAAGTGAAAGTGGATAATGCTTACGCCAGCAACGCCTCCGGGATCATCGTCTACAATGACCGAGACTCCAGCGTGCTGGAGAAGATGAAGTTGACACTCAGGGCAAAACGTAAGTACCAAGTGACAATACAATATACAATATATTAAAGATTGTGTAAGATTATCGTGATGGTTTGGATTGGGTGGTTAACGACAAACGTGATTTATCTCAAGGGATGTCACAATATATGCTTACTCCAAAACGATAACCAATTTCTATCTACTGTACCAGTACTGGATTGTGGATAAATCAAATTCTTATAGTTATTATACATGTATATTGGTTTATATAAAGTGAAATCAATAATTATACCACATATACTAACAGCTCTAGCTACGGTATTGTGTCAAACCAGAATAACGAGTTCCACATAAGGAAAACAAGACTGCTCTTCAGTGATCAATGTGGACCAATATCACTCCCCCTCCAGGTCTCAATGTAAACACCCTGGGCTGTCCCAAGGGCAAGCGACTCTGGCCTTGGTCTCATACTCAAGTGATCAGACAATAATGTAAACAAAGGAGCTCCCCATCGTGCCGCACTCCAGGGGTCCATGTCTCGGGAAGATGCAGGTCTCAAGGCGGGGACACACTTGTCATACACCCTTCCGATCCGACTCCGATCATACTGCGGTACGACTGTCGGACAGGGAAATGGTACATAACATTGAACGCGGTTGTTCACACCTCTCCGACACGCGTCATGTCATACTCCGATCCTACTCCGATTTTGGTTCCGATCACGCACCGACACTGCAGTCTATTTGTTTGTCGGATGCAGGACGGGTTGTTTCTAGACTAGTTGCTTGTACAAATTTTTATTTTTATTGTGTTTAAACTTCTATTTTGCTCAAAATGAGCTCTGTAAAAGCAGAGGAGCTGATCGAGGAAGTGCGCAAGCATCCAGTGTTGTACGACCAGTCCACGGAGCTGTACCGGAACGCGGAACACAAAGAACAGATCTGGAAAAGAGTGGCAAAGGAATTAAATGTCGAAGGTAAGACCTAATTTAGTTTAGGGACATTTTAAAAATAAACCTTAACCTGGTAAATAGGCATGGCACACATGTGGCGTGGTAAATTTAGTTTGGTAAAGAAATGTGTTGCATCACTGGCCACTGCGTAGTTAACTTCACTGTCTACAGGAACAAATGTTGTTTTTTTAGTTCACTTGAATCACTTGTTCTCCTAGCTGTTTAATGTTTCATTCGGTCTGTGCTTATGCGATTTCTAATTGTTTTCAGTTTTGGTAGCACTATATAACTCGAGCAAATGTTTTGAATTTGATTAAATTCTATTTAAACGTGTAAACCAGTCGGGACCACGTAAGTTTGCAGTTGAGGGAGGAGCCTATTTACCATATGGTTTTGAATTAATTATTAAGAACGGTACGGTGTTGCCAAATCTAATAATGACAGCTGATTTGAAAATATTGCTTAGTATATTTTAATTAGTGTTGTCAACGGGCGATGTGGCAACGTCGCCCTAGCCTTGTCTTGTGATTGGCTGCCACCAACTGCCAACTTTACGTGGTCCCGACAAATTTGATCGAGTTGAATGGTAAAAAAACACTTTTTACCTTCATTTATTTGTTTACCATGTATTGTTGAAATTCATTAAAATAGTTTTTCCCAAAATTTGTGAATTTTTTAGATTGTTACCCGCTAAAAACGTTGATGTTCTTGTTTTTTAGTAGTTAATAAATTCATAAAATACAAATTAAAACATTGGAGAAAATCTTTTTCTTATACTAGATTTCATTTATTTTTATCTTTAATTTCATGTAGTCTCAAGTTTTTCATGCAAATGAAATGCACCTTTCATATAAATAATTAATTGTAAATATGATTATTTTTACTTTTATTTATTTTAAATAAAACATTATTATTTAATACGTTTTATATCTTAGATTTCTAACCAATCAATATTTTGTATTTTTAATGGTTAGTAGGTAGGCCATACATTCAATCTAATACATAATTATATGAAAATAAACTCATATAAACCTAAGATTTCCCACATGCCTCTGTCTTCACCTAATATAGATGCTTGAAATAGATTTAACATCCACACACATTACAAACTAAAAAGTAGAAAATAACTTATAAATATGTTGACAGTATAAATACTTGTAGGATTTAAAACGAAAAACGTTGGGTGCATGCAATTGTTAATTATACATTAGTTCAATAGATGAAGGTAATTGTAAATTATCTATTGCATACACCCAACGTTTTTCGTTTCAAATCCTACAAGTATTTATACTCTCCATATATTTATAAATTATTTTCTACTTTTTAGTGCGTTTGGAAACGTTTTGTTTTAAAAAACTTTTTTATTTATAAATAATTTTTTTTTTCTTTTTTTTACAATAGAACAGTTGTGATTTTTTTTTAAATCCATCAATAGTGTAAAATTGTTTCCTGTAATGTCCTGTAGAAAGGAAGTATAAAATAATTGTATATCCTTTGGTTAATAGAACATTAAATATACGGCTCTGAAGTAATGTTAGTATAAAAAGTAAGGAGTGACCTGCCAGTATAACATTTATAAATGCTAGATAGAGGGTTAAAAGCGTGATACGATAAATATAACTAGGAATTGAGTAAACAAATTTCTGTATTTCAAATAAAGAAATGATTTACATAGCTGTTAGTATAAACCAAAACAATTGCAAAATAAGAATGTAAATCAATTCAAATTACATCATGAGAACTCGTTCTTGCCACTCCACACTACCGTCCGGGGAATTGAAGAATTCTTTAAACTGTTCCCTCACATCAAAGGCTTCGTGGTTTTCCCTTCCTCGTCGACGAGGGAAGCTCTGAAGACGAGATCTCTCTCCTGGAGTTGTGTCATCAGTACCTTGAGTGAGTTCTGGCACTTTCCAGCCTTCGTGATTTCGAATAAAGTTGTGCAAAATGCACGCTGCGAGAATAATTCTCGTTATGTTATCAGGATTTCCCTGGAGAGGCCTGAGGAACATACGGAATTTTTGCACTAAAATGCCGAACACATTTTCGGATATCCTCCTAGCCCTACTCAATCGGTAGTTGAAGATTCTTTGTTCTTTCGTCAAATTCTTCCCAGGATAGGGTCTCATGATGTTGTTTGTGAGAGGGAAAGCCTCATCGGCCACTACAACCATTGGAAGTTCAGTGTTTGTACCTGGAAGACACTTGTTCCCTGGGATATTTAGTTCATTTCGGAGCATTTTTTTCCCGAAATTGGATTTCGAAAATACACCACTGTCTGCGTTCCTTCCGTAGCTCCCCACGTCAACAAAAATAAAATTGTAGCACGGATCAGCTAGTGCTAGAAGAACAATGGAGTACGTTTTCTTGTAGTTCCAGTAAAGACTTCCCGACGACTTTGGTGCTTGTATCTTCACATGCTTACCATCCATTGCACCGATGCAATTGGGAAACTGCCACCTGTCCCAAAATTCGGCTGCTATTTCATTCCACTTGTCCTCATCGGGAACTGGCATAACTTTGTTCAAAAGAACCTCAATAACTGCTTGGCTCGTATGATGAACGATAGAAGCAACTGTACTTCTTCCCAACCTGTAGCTGAAGGATATTGTCTTAAATGTATCTCCCGTAGCTAGAAACCTGAAAGGAAAACATTATATTAATGATAACATTAATCACAATAAATTAAGGACTGCAATGTATTTTTAATTATAACTACTATTGAGCTACTATCTTTAAATTTTTTCAGGTCAAGAGGAAGAGTGCAAGAAAAAATGGAATGGCATTCGAGACAGCCTTCGAAGATCTCGACAAAAAACTAAAACAAAATCTGGTCAGGCGGCAACATCTAAAGCCAAGTACAAGTACGAATCCATGCTCGAATTCTTGATTCCTTTCATCGGTGACCGCAAAACATTAAGTAACGTCCCAGATGAAGAGGGCGATTTGTCTACAACTAATGACGATTCACAACTGCCGAATTTCCCCGAGGACATGCAGGAAACACAGCAAACACTAGATGGTGGCTACGCAGATGAATCCGAAATCCAAGAACCCTTACAAGCACCCCCACCCACAACTCCAGCCAGTCGACCTTCAGTTGTAAAGAAAAATGCACTTCCAAATCGTAAAAGGAAGCACCCCAACATACAATTAAAAACTCAACAGTCTGCGTCATCTCAGCTGATGGCGTATATATTGGCCGAAAAAGAAGCTGAAAACCCCAGTCAACAATCTGCTGAAAAACATCCTGTTGATGCGTTTTTAGCAGGAATCGCTCCATCCCTAAAAGCTCTGGATCCCGCTCTCCAAATCTCAGCGAAAGGGAAGATTTTTAATATAGTACAGGAGTGCGAACTGGAGCAGCTTCGTATCAACAATGAACGAAGAACCGCCTTGACCTATTTATCATCAGACGAGGCATCCGCTAGTTCAACACCTTCGCACGTAGGTGGACCGTGGATGGAGAGGAATTTGTATCAAAATCAGGTTCCCACTGGATCAAACCAACCGAACATCTCCGAAGATCAAGAAAGAAATCCTCTGTATTCACTTACAGACATTTATTGATATAATAACCTTGTAAGATTTCTCAGTTTACATATAGTATATAAGTTTACATCTATTATGTAACTTTTAAGTCAAAAAGATTTTTTTTCGTATTTTCTCTTTCTTTTTACAAGACATAAATCGTGTTTATTCTCATTTATTAAGACATTTTTTAATATAACAACATTTATAAGATTTCTCAGTTTACATCTATTATATAAGTTTACATCTATTATTTAACTTCAAGTCAAAAAGAATTTTTTTCGTATTTTCTCTTTCTTTTTACAAGACATAAAAAAAATCGTGTTTATTCTCATTTATTAAGACATTTATTAATATAACAACATTTGTAAGATTTCTTAGTTTACATGTATTATATAAGTTTACATCTATTATTTAAATTCAAGTCAAAAAGATTTCTTTTCGTATTTTCTCTTTCTTTGTACAACAAGACATAAATTGTGTTTATTCTCTTACAGACATTTTTTAATATAAAAAACTTTATAAGATTTCTTAGTTTACATGTATTATATAAATTTCAAGGCAAGTTTACAACGATTAGGTATGTAAATTTCAAGGCAAAAAAATAAATTTTTTCATGTTTTCCTTCCAATGTTTAATTATTGTGTTACCTTCAAATTTGGTTTTTAAAATCACCCTTTATTCTTAAGGTTTTAAGAGTGATGGTTTAATATAAATAAGTCGATGTTTGGTGTGAAATCTGTGCGTGCATACCTTCAATAAGACCTCTATAATGAAAATTGGACGGCTAGAAGAGCCAAACGAACTCGAGCGATAAAAACCAAAGTGTTTATTATATAAGATAGGCACTTAAGTAAACCACCTTACTTACCTCAAAAAAACAGCCAAACGCTGTGTAGGACTGATCGGTTGTCTGAAGTACGAGTCTTGCTTGGTTATTGTTTCTCTAAGTTCGAGCTCCAACTGGTCGAACGTTGACTTTGACATTCGAAAATATTGGTAAAATTTCGTCTCGTCGTCCAACAGATGAGGCATGATCGTGGAAAACTCTCCTTCTGAGGATCTTTCCTTCCATGCAGAATGGACCCAAATTCTCCGTTTCCCACTGTCCTCCAGAGATGTCTGACTTTCCTCTTCATCTAAACAAACCGCCATCATGGCTAAATCCCGAAGTCCAAAGTTTTTGAACATGTTTCACCTTCTGCACGTAGCTAACAACTGACGAGTTTTGGAAGGACAATCGACCTGGTGCAGGAAATCGGTGATGGATCGGAAGTGTGTATGACATGTGTGTTCACCCCTTCCGATCCCGCACCGATCCTACTTGATTCCCGCAAATCGGATCGGAGTCGGATCGGAAGGGTGTATGACAAGTGTGTCCCCGCCTTCAGTCAGGTGTTCTGTGAACTGACCGATTGGGAAGACCATCTGTGAAACTGGTTTTATACTCTCATCCTTCTTTTACTCGACCCTCGTCAAAACAAACCCGCACCTGCCTCCACGTCTCTAGTTTTGTGTTCATCTTCGGTCTGTAGTAGGCTACCGATGATTAGTCAGGAAATTCCTTCAGATTTGCCCTTAAACATTCAAAAGAGGTGTCTATTTAGTAACAGGAAACGCTTGAAGATTTTTTTACTTTAAGACATTTAAAAAGGCTACAGTGCATCTCGTGCAAGGCTAACACTTAAAACATATATTTACACTTAAAATGGTAACTCACAAGAGGGTAAATATAAAAAGACTTATATATATATATATATATATATACCGTCTTGTGAGTTATTATAAATGGAAATATATGTTTTAAGTGTTATTAGACGTATTTTTATTTACTTTCCGTTAATTTAATAACACGTAAAATGCGTATCAAGAGATTATTTATTATTTATACAACTAAAAGATTTACTTTTCTAAGTTTTCTAACAGTGTCGTCTTTAATATTTTTATTTACAAAAGGCCTACTCGCATAGTATATTTAACTTAATAAGGGAATGATAACTGACGTGCTAATTACTTTACAGTGCTAATTAACCTTTGTTTTAAAACAATTACATTTCCTAAACAATTACAATTACGGAAGTCATGATAACCCACGTGATAACCTCATCCTAAAATCCCACGCCGTTATCAATGTGAAAGAAAACGGCGTGTTGTGGTTGCAAGTTGATTCTATGCAGCTGATTTGCTGATTATATTGCTTGTATTTACAGTACAGTGAATAAAAACAAGGAAGGATCTTAGCTTTGAAGAAATATTGGTTAGTTTTGTTTGTTCATCATCACGTTTCTTTGATTGGTCTGGTTTGGTTTGTCACGGAAATCAACAGCTGCTAGACGTGTGCAAAGGTTGCTGAAAAAACCTTCGAATTCGAGAATAGGCCTATAAAAAGAACAAGGCTTTTTCATAAGTTTTTTTTTTGTTTGCTTCGATGTTATGACCGAAAACTCAGTAGGCCTAGGATTAGTTTGCTGGTCTACTTCTACGTTTCCTTGGGAACCGGGTCATTGCCACATATACAAAATGTCAACTGAATCGACTTTAGAAATCTATATTACCATCACTGATTATACGGTTTCACTTATGGGTGAATGGTGAATATAACGTAGATTCACAGAAGTAACAATATGGCACTACGCACATGGCCCTATAATGGCCAAACAGACGCATCTAACTAATATTGTTTTTGAATCTGATGCTAGGAAAATATTAAATTATTGGTGGTTTATGAAAACGTAAATGAAACAAACACACGCCAGCAAAATTTCGTAGGGCTACCGTGACACGTACAGCTTTTCGGCGACTCGGAAAATTTTTAATAAACTCGTTTTATTCGCGATTTGACTAAAGTTAATTTCGTACTAAACCGTGAATGTAAACTTCCATTTTTGTTATTTCCGTGTAGATGAGTCGTTTTTAATGAACACACAAGTTGTGTTGGTGTAATTAGCAAATGTGTCACGATACATTACAGCTATTGCAGCTTCGTTCTCTTTGTTTGTGCCGGATGTGACTGTAATTCGTTGATAGAGTGACTGTTACAGAAGTATTTGGAATTAAATTTGTCAAATCTATTACCTAAACATGCTGAGTAAACATAAGACATGTTACCATGTTTGCAACCCCAGCCATATTACTTATGCAACTTTACAAAATTGGAGTTTACTTTTGTAAATGGGTGGTGACAAAAGTAAGCTGCGAGGTACGACGTTTTTTGAGATATATAGAAGTAGGGTAGCTCTATGCAACGCAAATGAAGTAACTTCGAGGCTAGTTTTGTTTCCCTTGGTCAACATTCTAGTTCCACAAATGAAGCATGAAGATGTGTACCTGTACAAGTCATACACTGCTCGTTTGATAGTAGTTAATTCATATACAAATAAGGATTTTACCAGAAATAATTACATAGAACTAAAAAATCCAATTCTTTAGAATGTAATCTAAAACCATAATCAATTCATGTTTCTTTTTCGTGATACGTAAACCAGCTAGTTCTGATTAAAGCTGTAGTGATAAAGGTAAGCTTCAAGCTACAATGATATGATCGTGATGAAGTAGTTCACTCAAAGCAGTTGAACAACTTTGTTTCTGAAGCCACCCAACGTTTTAACTAACCTATAATCAAATTGTGTCAATAAGAAAGTGTTTTGCACTGTACAAGTACAACAGACAGTCCGCTTTATTTCTACTGGCAACATAACGGTGAAACTAACATCAAAACTCATTGTGTCACCGAAGAAATGTTAAGTTCGACAGCTATGTTTATGTAGCTATACGACATTTTTTTACTAACCTAAAAACTCATTGTGCGAATAAAGCGTTTTAGCTTTGACTATTAATATCCAATAGTCAATGGTTTTAGGTTCGATAGCTCATAACTTTGTTATTGCAATAATCATGGCAGTTCAACCAACCTAAAACACGGTTTAGTTTGTTGTGTTGGCGTTTTCTCAAGAGACGAGGTTGTTAGTTGACTCGTTGACTGAGAATGTTCTGAGTACGGTAGAGTGCAAGGTAGACACAGTCTGACACAGTACAGTACAGTGTTAAGTATACTCTAGTTTCTTAAATCCAACATTCTATTATACACTGTAACTGTACAGTCCATGCAGTTTAAAGCACTTTTGCACAAGAGCATTAGCCTTGCGACCCGGGCCTTGGCTCACTCACTTCCTCGTATATAGTATCATAATAATCGCATACTTAACCTCGTCTCGGCTCCCTAGGTTCCGGTCCACCTTTCGCGAACGACTCAATGACTCAAAGCTTGTCTCTCGTACTGTATTTGCCTAAGGCTGATATGTGTGTTAATAAACATAGATTAACTGTAAATGTGTACGTCTTGTGTTGATGTCCACATTTACTGTATGCATCTACAATATTCTTTAAGCTCAGAGACATGTGAGTATGTTGTATATCATTAACTTTGTGGACATAACGCATAGTATTATTTAACATAACGCAACCTATAATAAAAGACATAACTTTAACAGAAATAGAAAAGACAAACTAATCTAAGGAAGAATGTAACCTCCAGAGTGTGTTGCTATGGAACACCGACCTATATGTTACGGTAATAAGCTAATGCTTGCCAAATAATACATCTGGTTTGATAAATGCTGTTATAAGAAAATCTAAAAGATAAATAAAGATTTATTGTATAGTTTGTTCGTCATTGTTCATAGAACAGTAGTTGCAACACATTTTTATTTTATCGGCACTAAGAATCTTGAAAGCCCAAGGTCGTAGTGCTAGATCGATGACGAAACGGAAATACAGTAACCGTGATTCTTGGTACGATTGATGATTTGTTTGCAAGTGTCAGCCAAAGTAAAACAAACATTCAGTGGTGGTTTCTCAAGTCATTGCTCGACAAAATGCAGAACACACATACAGAAATTCTATAATATGCAACAGTACATTATAGGCCTAGATACATTACAACCTTCAAACTAAAATACTTGTAACTTACAGCCTAAGGTACAAAGCTACTTCTAATTTATGTCTAAGGAAAACGTAAAACAAAAGATATTGGCCTTATCGATTTATGCTAAACTTCTGGGAAGGGATCTTCTGCTTTGAGGTTTTCCTTCTTTAGAGGATCCCCTTCACGTGAGAACCATATCGTATTATCAAATACATCACACTTTACATCAACACACGTCTGGTTCGTTGGTTTAGCTTAAAATCACTCGAGAACACATCTAGATCTTTTACTTAAAACTAAATTAGTTTATGAAATCTCGTTACCAGAGAGTACATTTTACACTACGGTACAGTTGTGCGATATCTAGTTAAATGTCGGAACCGGAAGTTAAATGTAGTCATAATAAAGATTTTTGTCTCATTTTCTCATTTTTAAACCCCTTGGGGCTCCCGGGGCTTTCATATCTACAATAGCGTAGGATAGTTATGTTACTACTGTAGATGATTTCCACGGAAAGTTTAACGAATGATACCGATAACTATGTTTCAAAGACTTTTACGTTTTCTATCACTCAAATGATTGACACAAATCAGATTAAATGTTTGATAAAGCTGCGGTAACGATCGTACAGTTACTCATATTTTTAAAAGATCTGCAAGCCAAGTGTGGCAGGGTTTGATCAAGTTTCTTATTAGTTTTTTTACGCGTTTCTCGTATCTATACATTCAGTTCAAAGCTAGGTAAACTAAACATTGATGTGCATTATTGTAGTTATTTTCATCTAGTTAAATAATTACTAACAGGGTAGTTTGCTGTTGGGATTTCATGCACGTGTTACTAACCCCAATATCAAGACTATAATAATAGTACAACACGGCGAAAGAGTCGTTTGCCAAGCTGTTTCTCAATGTGTCAGAAAAATAAAAATAGCCTCAGAGAAGCTTAGAGGAGAGAGTGGAATATCTACTTACACTGCTGGAACTGTCCAGCTGGATACATTATGGGAACCATTGACTGGAATACCTACTTGTCCTACTACTTACACTGCTGGAACTGTCCAGCTGGACACATAATGTGAACCATTGACTGTGGAATACCTACTTGTCCTACTACTTACACTGCTGGAACTGTCCAGCTGGACACATAATGTGAACCATTGACTGTGGAATACCTACTTGTCCTACTACTTATACTGCTGGAACTGTCCAGCTGGACACATAATGTGAACCATTGACTGTGGAATACCTACTTGTCCTACTACTTATACTGCTGGAACTGTCCAGCTGGATACATAATGGGAACCATTGACTGTGGAATACCTACTTGTCCTACTACTTACACTGCTGG